CATTCCTAAAATTAGAAAGCGGTAGCCCTGCTTTCCGCAAGACTGCGTGGTCGAAATGTCGTGCTTTGCAGTGGTGACACAGTTGTCATTGAAACGTCGAGAGCAGGAAAGAAAACCGTTTCAGGTACTGGTTTAGTAACGTATGCGTAAAAAACTTCCGGAGAGACCTCACGCGGGGCATTCACGTGTTCCACTCGCAGATCTCGTTTGGCACACTCCGAGTGCTTGCTCCAAGATTTCGTTGGCCACTCCAGCCCATCATGTCAACAATCGAAGAATTCCCTTCATCGTAGATGTCTGAATGTCTTCGTGGCTGCAGGCGTCTAATTGTCTTCAGAAGACGTGTGAAAGCATGCCACATATACACACAGTACAAAAAAAGTGCCACCGAACACCGGAACGGAACGCACGAAACTACAGTGGCTGTGAAGCCAGCGGAGAGTGCCCGGTTACTTGGTTCAAAGTTAGACGGCAGCGCGCCCCAACTCCCTAGGAGCAAATCACTCCCGCCGCGAAAGGAGAAGTTCGGAAACTGAAAAAGTATTCGTAAAGGTTATCTGAGACCACGTGCGCTCAAGGTTTGGTGGTACTAAATGCACAGTCTTGGATTCAGGAGAACAGCGCGCAGTGAAGAGTGAGACGATGTAGGTGTTTTGAGCATATCCTCCCCCCCCCCCCCCCCCCCCCCCCCCCCCCACCAGGAAAAAGAAAAGCATTCCTAGCATAAGCAGCCAAAACTTCCTGCACACCGAGAGAGGTGACGAACAATGGACCTCGTTCGGTTCCACACTGCTAGTCGTGATTTCGTGTGTGCCCCGTGAATGTTCTGTGACGTCGACAATATCCGCTTTTTTGGAACGTCACAAAGGGCCTCTATCTACGTCGTACTTGTGGCTACGTTGCGAGGGGCTGCAAACTCAGATGACCACTCACGCTTACTTTAAAATCCAAATAAAGTATCTTAGATGCAATGATTTTTTAGTCCTATTTGATCAAAGTGCCCACGCATAGAAGACAACGCAAGCATCGCGAGTCTCCGAATTCGGTGCCCGGGGTTCTTTAGAAGAACCGACAACTGCCCAGAACATGAAATGAGATTACTGCATGAATGGAAAGATTGTCCCTCATAGTGACTCAAAGCAAACCTATCTTTCGCGTGAGAAGTGTAGTTATAATTTTATTTCTTGATTGAAAATCACGAAAATAGCCTGGATTGCCACCTGGTGGTGGACACTTGAATTGTTGAAGTCAACAATTCAAGTGTCAACAATTCAAGTCAACGCAGTTAACAATTTTTCTGTTAGTATTGAAACATTGTTTGCTTCTTAATAGTAAAAGATAATACTCCATAAAAAGGAACTCATAAGCAATCGTAAGTGGTGTGCAATAAAGTGTCGCTGCTTTCACATGATGTAATGATCCCGTGCTGGTCAGCCGTTTTGAGAAATTTTTCAACGTGCTAATGAAAAGGGGCACGCAGTTTCAGGGTCGCTATCACTTCATAGTGACGTTTTTTTTTACCTCCACTTTGTCTCCAAAAGGACGCGCAGTGACGTTTTCGTTGACTTGGTTGGCTCGTGAGTCGAAATAGTAACGTCGAGGGGACAAGCCATCCACGACACAGGCGCATCAACCTTGGGCGCAGGCGCATGCAACGCGCTACAAATACAATGAAGCTGTATAAAGCCACATCGTCTCATTGTAACGAATTGTTATTTTCGAAAATAGTTGTTAAGCTCAAAGTAAGTGTGGTTAAGCATAGTTACAGAAACTCCTGCTAAACCACAACAATGACAGCATGCACAAGTTGCTATAAGGGCTACCGGCAGCCCTATTAATTCTCAGCGCTGCTGGACAAAAAGGAACGTCAGTGTTCAGAGCCTTTCAAACCGAAAAATACTGCTTGTAAATAAACTACGTGCTTTGGGGAAAAACTACTGCAACTGCGAGCGCGGCGAAGGGTAAGATTTCTGTCTCGCCGGAAAAAACTGGGTCGGAAAGATCAGTTGCCGGTCCCTTTAAGCGCTAAATATGCAAACAAAAATCTTCCGATACGTTGACGATTACTTGAGTTTTGTGAAAAATTGTTCATCGCGGAACTCTTACGGTATCATGGCGTGGTTCAAGACTGAAGACATGGGCATCCGGTTTCTCTCCGAGGTTTCAAAAAATAAGAACAGTTTCTAGACATTTGACTGTTTTTTGGTGGCAGTGTAATCCCCCTTTGCGAAACTGGTCCTGGATTACTCGTTCGGTCATTCCAAGCTTGTAAAACGCGGAATTGTACTTTCATGCTTAAGTTTAGCCTTAGAGAAAGCTGCCTTCATATGCTGCACACGGGTTTTTCAGCGAAGCTAGGACGGTTAATAGCTTTTGAATACCCTTCATATTTAATTGCATTGAAATATGAAAGACTCTTGCGAATGGTAAAAACTACGAGAAACGCATATGTATACTTCGCAGAAGCGTGTCCTGAAGGGCCACTTGATACATGATACTGAGGGGGAAATAGCGCGAAAACAGGACAACTTATTGAATGGCCACAGCACATAATCAGTCTATAATTTTTCAGAAAATTTTGTCAGGGTACGCTGAAAATAAAAAAAAAAACATGAGGCAGTAATCCATAAAATTCACACAATTATGCATGGACTAAATAAAAAATGTGGTAAACCAACTTGATGTGCGCTTTTCTCTGCACCCCCTAAATTTGGCAGTATATCGGCAAATGGTGCAAGGAAGAATACAAGACGTGTCTAAGAGCATGGTGATGCCTCGAAAACAAGTAAAATGGTTTGAACATGCACCACAAGAGTGGTATGTGAGGGATGTGGTCACATGTATGTACATCGGCCACATTGACCGATGTGTGAATGCATGCCTCGAAGAACATAAAAGCTCTTTGAAAAGTACCCCCTATTCTCGTTTAGCATCACACTGCGAGTGTTGAGTTGGCTAGAACCGAGCTGGTCCTGGCTTGGTTGGGCTTGTCCAAGTTTTGCTAAGCTATGTTGCTATCGGTCAATAAGTTCTTGTATTTACTTGCGGCTGCACGAAGTGTTCACCCAAGCTTTCCTGTAAACCAAGGTTTATTCACTAGCTTATCGAACGTTACCTATTAGAGATAGCGTAGCCAAACCAAATCAACACAATTCCTGTAGTTGAAATAGTTTAATCAGACTAAATAGCCGAATAAGGCTAATTAGGCATATCTAGGAATAATCTCGACAACTCGCAAATAAGAGCCGATCCTAAGCTAATAAATTGACTATTTAGCACTAATTATGTTCAGTTTTAATCAACTCTGATGAGTACTGAATGGATCAAAAACCGAGTTTTATGGTACCTATTTCCTTTAACTCAACAGAATGCTTACTGGTCAGAGTGTCTGATCATGGAATGGTAACGAAGAATACGGCACAAAATATTTGCTATCGAAATTTGCCTACATGTGGTCAATGTAAGGTCCTTCACACACGTGACAACGCATACTGCAAAGAGTGAGCAAACGATGGGTTCGTGTTCTAGCACGCGTGCTCATGGCGCACGTGTGCCATGGCTCGACCCGGTCTAGGGACGGCCTCGAAAACAGCAACGCTACTCACCGAACGGCTCCTTTTACCTCGTAAGCAGCACAGGGCAGGACAATAAGCATACTCTGATTTATGAGGACAAATTATGGCGCGCATGACCGCATGAAACTACGTGACCAAGCACGTGACAACCTGCCTGCGACAAGTTATCTTTTCGTCCACTTTTCTTTCTTGATCTTCATAACAATTACTGCTGACATATCCTATACTTTCCTTGGAATCATTGTCTGTTGTCATGAATACTATGTCTAGAAAAAAACGGGCCCTTGAAACTTTAATAATTGTTTCCCTAAGTACAGCAAAGTAATCGACTCCATAATAAGCTCTGAGGCTCTTTGGCTACAGGTGCGCGGCATACCGGATTTTTTGTCACTTATACACCGATTTTAAAATATAAGTTCTATTCAGCTCGCGAAAAGAATGCTTGAATCTGTCACCATTATTCGCGGTCTTTTCATTTCCACCAGGATATATTGCACGTCCTGGCCATTTGTCGGTCCTTTTAATTAGGCTGAACTTGGTAAGATTTGCTGAAATCGACCTCTCTGGCCTCAATAATACTTAAACATGTCTTAATTAGGACTTACGAAAATCTCAATTCACGTCAATATCATTAGCTAGTTTGTTGTTACTGTGCTCAACCACGTTTTATGAAGCTTGGATATAATCAACTTGGCTCAACTAGGCTCATGTAAGCTTGACGAACCCGCCACAGTGGTCTAGTGGCTGAAGCACTCAGCTGGCCCACAGTCGCGGGATCGAATCCCAGTCACGGCGGCTGCATTTTGATGAAGACGAAAATGCTTGAGGCACGTGTGCTTATCTTAGATACAGGAACACGTTAAAGAAGCCCGGGTGGTTGGAATGTCCCGAGCAGTCCACCTCGGCATCTCTCATAATAACATTGTGCTTTCGTGCTTTCGGGACTCCTGCAGGGACACGCGTCACCACCAGGAGATGACGTCACTACTTACCCCCTTCAAACTAACACGTCAAGAATGACAAGGCGCCTTTGAAGAAGATAGGTTTTCCTATCGAAACGTTGGCCATCCTATCTGAGGCACTTGCACTGTTCACCCGGACTATTCCACAACAATTATTATTGTAACTTTGACTTGCTTGGACCTAGCAAAGGAAAGCAGGGCATGATAATAGCTCTTTCTACACCACATGTTGAAACTTCGAGCATACCAGCTCTGCTACAAAATATCAGATCATTTTTTATATATGAGGTTCGAACACGACCGGCTTCTTGGGTGTTCTACAATGACAGGAGATGTGTGCGTAAGGGAAGTAGAGTGCATTAGAAATCATTACATTCACGGGCTTGGTTTTCGGAATTACGCTTTCATCTACTTGTTATGCAGCCTAACGGTCCCCAACAAAACTGTTCTTGATTGCTTCCAGTTGTTTTCAACACCATCAAAGATCTGACCAAGGAGTACGAATGCAAGACGTTCAAGGCGTACCTGGGCGTCTTTCCTATCGTGGTAATACACACGCCTGAGGCTGCGCAGGTGACTGTTTCTCTACCTTTCTTTCGATTTTGATGAAACGCGTGGCTAAAACAGAGGACGCGGGTTCAATTCTCAGCGACGGCGGCAACTTTTACATGAGGACGAAATGCAAAAAAAAAATCAGCTATTCACATATGTTAGGTGCAAGTTAAAGAACACCAGGTGGTTTAAATCAACTCAGAAACCTCCCCATTACGCGGCGTACCTAACAATCGCATTCGTGGTTTTCGACGCATAAAGCCCTTCATTAGCCCATCACTCAATAGTCCTGTGGATCTCAATAAAAGCTTCCAATAGACAACCATGAATATTTCTATGTGTAGCCATTCTCGGAGCGAATGAGCACAAAGTGTACGAAAGTAGCTGTCAGCCCCACTCTTGCAAAAGACAGGTGCTTGGTCTAAACGCCAAATAAATGTTACTTTTTTCATACGTTCACAAGCTTCTATGATTTTTGAATCACCACACGTCAGGAAACTAAACAGCATATACACGCAGTTAAGACACCAGACGAGGCGAAATAAGCAAGACTATAGCCTGTCCTGTGTACTTCTACTGGTATTCAGTCACGTGCGAAGATTTATTTTTTCAGCTTCAATGTCGTACTGACTAGCCCCCGACTCACTTTTCCTATATTTCAAAATTTATTAAAAATATAGACAAGTGCTAAAATACACTTCGCTTTTCTTCAAGAAGTGTGGCAGTAATAGGCGCTGTGCTTTATGCTTCACGGAGAAAGAAGAATGTTAATATTGCGGTTCGCTAGCGCACAGCTAGAAAAAGCGAAAAGCACCCAACACACCCAAGCAAAAGTAAGGCGACCCGCTGGCGCAATCGTGAGGGCTGCACGATAGATAGATACATACACGACGTATGTATACGAAGATACATCCACGATGCACCATTATTCGAATTTGGTCACTTCCTTGGCAAGGGTAGTTTTGATATGACGTGGCCACATTTCAGCAGGGTCACGTTTCGTGCGCAGGGAGCGCAATCAACTTTTATATCACTCCGAAAATTTAGTGACAAATATTTCAGCTTACTTGCAACTTTTGTAGTTTCAAAAAAGGGCATGCCATAAACTGTCACGCACAACAAATTGCTTATAGAAACATGTGCCGTCAACTTTAAAGGGGCCCTGAAACACTTTTTTGAGTAACCATGAAGGTAATTCACTGGAAAGGCGTATTACCTCACAAACTGAACGCCGCAAAAATTAAGGATCCGTGCAATACGAGCGGAGTTACAAAGATTGGTCACACGCTGCAATCACATTCTCCCTTCTCTCGTTCCGACGAAAGTGCTGGAAGCTGAGCAGGGAGGGACAGGAGGGGCAAACAAAAAATGTCACTCGCGCCTCGTGACCTTGAGCGTTGGTTTCTTTTTTTTTTCTTCGAATACGTGGCTTTCACAGTGCGATCGCGCGCGCATGAGTTAACAACTGACGGCCTTTCGTGGCGACTTTTCTAACATCCAAGCGCGCCATGTTCAAATCCGCCAATGACTGATAGATGGGCTTACTGGACTTATTTTCCGTGATTTGTCAAGAGGAGAGAAAGCTATTTTTAGCTGACTTTGATATTTACTGTGAATTCCAGGCCACGTGCTGCACTGTAATGTTTTGCTCGCATCTTGTCGGGAGCCTCTACTACCGATCGGCAGCGTTTTCTGACCATGCTCAAAAAGTGTGGCAGAGCCCCTTTAAATCAGGAGTGTTTTTTGATCACTTGCAACAGTGTCATCCCTGCTGCGGCAAAGTACGAAGTATTCTCTCTCATACTTTCCTTGGTTTATTGGCTTTTAGTTTAATTTGGCTTGGTATAAGAAAGAAAATGCGCCCTTGACCTGCTTCACTTCTTTCGTTCACATCTATAGACACATCTGGTTGTCCTTGCTCATTCATTTCAGGCTGTTCTCATGGGAAAAGTGAAGTCAGACAAGCCCTTCCTGTACTCATTCCTAAAGTCATGGCTTGGTGAGAAGAGCCTTTTGATGATGTGAGTATTGTGGATCGTAATATAAACTGTGGTGTATTTGTAAAAAGTCGCTGTAGGACTGAATTGTGCCTGTTTTTCTTTTTTTAAGAAAACGGCGCAACACGGGTCAAAGACGTAGACGTTCTAGTAGTGTGTTCATGTCCCGTTGTCTTATTTTCCATTCAAAATTGCAAATTATGGGGAGGTAAGCTACGTTAAACCTGCTTTACCATCATCATGGTAGAAATATTCAAGACACACACAAAGATTAAAAATGAGGGAGAATGAAAGAAACAGAAAAATATAATCAGACACACAATGTACCCAATGTGATCCTCACAAACCATGAGCAAAGCCATTTAATACATCGTGGTCACACCGCGGTTAGAGCACGCTTTCTTGTATTGAACTATTGTACTACCGTGATTGTATTAAAAGATAAACACGACGCGCCATGTGCGTGTCCTCCGTATTCTGGCCATGGCACAGGCTATCACTCGAAAATAACATAGATGTGCGAGTTGCTCTGAAACAAATTAAGAAGCAAGCAAGGAAACAAACAAACAATCAGTCAGACAAGCAATCAAACAAGCAGACAAGCAAACAACCGAGTAAACAAACAAACAAGAAAAGAAATGAACAAGAAAACAAAAATTGAACAGACAAGGAAGGAGATAGATGAACAAGTAAACAAAAAAACAAGGAACCAAGCAAGCTAACCAAAAACCAAGCATACAAAGAAAGAAACAAAAAGCAAACAATGAACATACCAACAGAAAACAAATAGACAAGCAAGCAAGCGCACAAACAAACAAACAAGCAGACAATAAGCAAGTTTACAAACCAACACTAGTTTTTTTTTAACACATAACTACCAGAGACTGGAGACGGCATCTGAGATGCGGATATTTGCTGTAAGGTGTCCTCACGGATCTCCAGCAAAGCCCATGACATTAGCGGGGCCATTAAGCATCATCTTTTTTTCTAACTTTTAGACATAAAACGTGCACCTGTAGCGACGCATTGACCACAACAGAGACCAAGACGAATAATTAGTTTAAGTGTGGAGCGTCCATTGCTTTCACTTTATTGACAACGAAAGTGCCTTCTGCTTGATACTACGTATACTGTTCCATGTTGTGTTCATATCGAAGCCTAGCCTAGGCCAATAATTCTCGCTGTAATAATAAAGTTATTACCTAAGTAAAGAACGTCGGATAGTATAGTAAACTATTATAAAATATAATGAAGCTAAGCTTTTACCCACCATGCAGTTGATTGATGCCACTTCCTGTATCTTGGGAAAGTAATCGATTTCATATTATGAGTCTGACGCCCGAAATTTTGCTCAAGCTGAATTGAGTGGTTGAAATCAGCTTTCATGAAACGTTGTACTTTATTACTGCTCACACGCAGAACGTTGAATAAATGCACAATCAACTCATTGATTGTCAGTCTGTAATTCTTGTTTCTTGAACAGAAAGTTCAAGCGGAACATTCGTGTAGTCCTCTACACTGATAATACCAAAGGTCACGGCCGCAAGTAAGCTAAGTGCCTGCACTAATGCCACATGTTCATACAAATCACCAATAGGGTTCAGCGTCTTGCGGTGCAACGTTCAAACATGTGGACGCAACTTTTTTTTGTTGCTGTTGCCAAGAAGAAAGGTAAAAGTGGTGAAGTTCATGGCTAAGAGTGGCTTAGAGAAACCAAGATATATAGATTAGAATGGTCTGAACCTTCTTCATAATCACTGCCTCCTTTCTTAACCTTTAACCTTAATGCTCTACGTATCACTACAGTCGAGTACTTTGGTGAATGCACTACGACGTTCGACGGCTGAGTCGACATGCATGTTCAATAACCAAAGTTAAAAACAACTTTTTGTTGCGTTAAAGCAGTGGTCAGCTAACTCTTCTTGAAATGGAGGGCCACACTGCAAACTAAGGTTGTAGATGGCAATCATAGATCGAAGCACAAGCCCCATTTCAGGTCAAGATTGTCATGTTGGCCTTCAGAAAACACGTGGCAAGGGGAGTAGGGGGAGGAGTCTGCTGCTGTTCTCGGTGCCGCATAACACAGCCCAGCAAGCCATTCGTTTACAACCACTGCTTTAAAGCAATATTACAATGAAAACCAAATGACGCATGTATTCGTTTTGGTTCGTTTTGTGTAGAAATGGAAATCGACTGACTGAAGAATATATAATTATATACCGAATCATGGGATAATTAGGAATGCTTACTAAAATATACCAAAAACACATAAAAACTGTTTTGTTTCTTCGGTTGTAATATAAAGTGCCTTGAATATATGTTTTGTAAATTGGAGACACTTTCTTAAAGTCGCTTATAATTCGCGAGAAGGGGTTCAGAAAAATACACAGAAACTTCCGGCGAATTTCCCTAAGGGGAACTGTCATTTCATTAGCGCAGTGTTTAATTCACTGGGACAGAGGTATTATTTATTTCCACTGTGTATTCCTTATCTTTCTGTACCGATGTGAATGCGTATAATGATCGCTCCTTATATTTCTTTTGGTTTGCTATTTATTTGTTAGTTTAGGCATTTACAGACAGACGCAGTATTCTGTTTGTTCGTGCATGTGCATATTCATTTATGAAAAAATTGCACATCGAGCCTTTTATTTATGTTCTTAAATTGCCAGCTCTAACTGAGCGTATACTTTCCCATAAGTGCGTGACTGTAGAACATCAATGACAGCAAGAAAAATACATGTTTGCCAACAGTAGCCATCATTTACCAGCGCTGGTCTTATGCGAGTAAACATGACACGCTTTAAAAACTATACACCTCTGTTAAATTCTAATGAATATCCTGTTGCATATTTCTATTGATTGTATATTCGGACACTTCACTTGTAGAAATTTCAAAGGACCTGAAAAAAAAAAGGGCTTTTTAGGTGAGAAGTCACGCAAATACGCCGCAGTTTGTTGTATAGTACAAGTTATAGAATAAACATCGTCTGTTGAAATGGCATTTCAGCTCATTTATTTGTCACGGTGCTCATCTGCTAGTGATTTTTTTTCTATTTAGCGCTTTGTCTGGAACGCAGTTATCTTTCGCTGCATTTGTGCCTGTAAGACGACAGTGGCCTTGAACCCAGTCTTTGTGTGCCAGTACTAGTGAATCTTCTCCGTAACTGAGATTTGCTGGACATAAAATTGCTTCAATTTGTCTGTGCCCGTCAGCGCTCCCTTAGCTGAAAATTTGAATGCTTCCTGTTTAACGTGGGACTCTTGGTGGATGATGCCTTGAAATATGTTGGTACAAGTGAAACGAGCACTGCATTAAATTTTGCTTAAACGAAAGGCGTTTTCTTTGCACTAGATTCCAATGGCTCTTCAGCGGGATAATTAAAATTTCATACTACGCAGTATTTTGCTTAGGTAAGGTTCATTCGAGGCATTTTATACCTCGACTTTACACGATAGTCTATATACCTTACGTTGATCATTGTAGGTTGGTTCACTTTCTTCAAATCTTAGCTCCAGAAATTGTATTTTGAGGGTTGATTTGTGGACCATTGGTGAAATAACTTTTCATGGGATATGGCTCATTAAAACTACGTGTGATTACTCTTTGAAAAATATCAAAACTGAGGGAAAAGGGTGTTTGTGGCTTGGCGCAAAATATACTTTTTCTTCGAATTTTAATGCAGTGGCGGCGATTCTTGGAGATCCAAACGCAAGGTTTTTATGCAAGCTTTCCAAGCAAATGCTATGGAAACCTACCGTGGCTCCATCGGAAAGAGCGCGGACTGCTTTGTGGCACGCATAGATAAGATGCTGAAGGAGGAGCCTGACGAGCCCATACGATGCCTTGAGAACGTGCAAAAGTGCGCATTGGACATTATTGGACGTGAGTACGCTATGATAAGTTCAGTCTTCGTGATTTAGGCTCCACACATGCATCATATGCGGATGATTTATACCTTCTTGGGCTGCCATACACAAGCTCTGACTTCACCACTGAGTGCATGTAGAAACGGCAGACGGCGTGCAGGTCAGTTTTTTCGCAGCAGTGACCGAGCTACATGCGCCAGCATTTTGTTCAGTTGCTCCGGGAAGAATGCTGTAGGAGTTCGCCTATAGCCTTTATTCGTGTAATATTGTAACTCTTTGCTATCATATACAATGGTGCATCGTTGAGGTGAAAGTGTGACGTATCACGCCGCAAGCTTTCAGACGAGAGCGTGCACTTGCCGTACTCGCTATTTTCGTTCTGTATTTTTTCTCGCAGATGTTGCCCTTGGGGTGGACTTGGGAGTTCAGGAAGAGAAGCACGGAAACTATGGCGGCTACTTTAACTTGTGAGCCACAATTTGGTTTGGCGTGTAATCTTTTCAATGGCGCATTTTTTGTTTAGAATTCTATATTGTGAAGTTTCATAATAAATTAATGAATTTGTAATAAAGTTCAGCTCACTAAATAAGTACTAAACGATGCTACTACTTAAAAGAAACGGTTTGCCATCGCAAAGCACTTTCTTTATTCTACGTCGTAAGTCTATAATGAAAATGGTTCATAAAGCTGATCACGCTGCTTGACCCGGTTATACGTAGGAGCATACTAGACTAGCCTAACAAGTCTTCAAGTACTCAACTATGTTTTTAGGAAAAGAGCAATAAGTTCACTTGAACCTGTGTTCGTTGTCTCGTAGACACCCTGTTTTACATATCGCATTAAAAACGCCTCTTCTCATCAGCAAACAGCATTTGGTCAGAGTACACAGACTGAGTCCGGTCTCTTCTCGTCTCTTTGATCACTTTGCAGGCTTACAATGTTGGTGAGCACGAGAATTTTCCAGCCTTGGCTATGGCTGGATCAGATTTACCGACTGACGCCCGATGGCCGCCTGTTTCAAAAAAACCTGCGAAAGATTGAAGCCATCGTGTACGGCGTAGGTTTTCATGCGTGTTCGGTATTGATAAACTGACACCACACTTTGCCACGCGTAGATTTCGAAGCCAGCGCTTGCAATTCTACAAGTCTATATCATCATAAATTTAAGTGGAAACGATATGTGCTAGATGTGAGACGAATAATTTATGCTTATATCCGCCATGGTGGTCTTGTAGTTATGGTGCTCGACTGCTCATCCAAAGGTGATGGCAGACGCATTTTTGGTGGAAGTGTAAATGCTGAAGCCCGTACACTTAGGCTCAGTCGCAAAATAAACTACGGCGTACTTAATAATAATATCATAATTTCGGGACGTTAAACCTCAACAATTATTATTATCATGTTAATCCACTCCACAACAAGCTGGCAAAATTTAAGTGGTAGGTCAGACACCTTGCATTCTTATTATTTTTTTAGAACCGTAACTCACCGTAACAACCACAAGTGGTGACGAAATGGGAGCACTCGCGCAAACTTCTCTTTACTGACAGAAGGTCATCTCAAAAGTAGTCATGCTTTGTACTCTGCAAAAACGAGAACGTAGATTGAAAAAAACTCGTCACAGCGTATGTCACAACAAACAACCTGCGTTTTGTTTTTTGTTTATTTTTTATATGTGCGCGCCTGTGATTTTTTTAATGGTTAATCTGGCAAGTGAAGAAACTGAGGGCGCAGTTAAACGGTGACGCTCACGCAGTGTGCCAGTAGGCACCATAGTGCGTGCAGCATTACGTCCAACGTGGCACCTCATTGTTTGCAAACAGGGGACGCAGTGGTGGCTCCTCATTTTCTTCCTTTGTCACACAGTGCTCAATGAAATGCCTGTCGCTCTTACTGAACGCAGTATTGCGATCGGACTTACAAAACTAAAGAACGCCCTGTTTTCTGCGCAATTATTCATATTGAGCACACTCCTCTTACTTAAGATAATTAGTAGTAGTATTAGTAGAACGACCGTATTATGGTCACTTGCAGGGCACTAAGAACGAGGACGGGAACATGCAAGCACAGGTAGCCCTTATGCTTGTTCATTTTATGGTATTAGTTACTAATGCACCTTAAATGTTACACGTCGAAAAAGGACATCTTTGTTTGTGCTGTCTCCTCCCCATTCGGGCGGCTCGCTTAGTATAAGATCGCAATGGCAGTAAATAAGGCTAGTCTTACAGCCTTTGAAGAAGCGATTTATTAGTTTTCAGAAGAGAATGAACTTTTTTTCACGTATGGTTGTCGTTCTCAAGGTAATGAACATACGGAAGGATGAAATGAAGAAGCAATCAGATCAGACCACCAACAGCAACAAGCTTCCGAAAATTGGAGACGCCAGCGGTTCGTTGTTCCTCGACAGCCTTCTGCTAGAACACATGAAGGCGCCTTCCACGTACACGCTGGACGGTGTGAGAAAAGATGCCGATTTCATGATGTTCGCGGTGAGTGAATCTACTTCTCATCATCACATTGAATCACTGTGTTTCGAATTTTCACATATAATCTGTAAAGTTGACCATCTAAACTTAAGCATACATCAAAAGTGGTCTCCTGTATCCTTGAGAGTACATTCTACTATGCAAGAATCTTTAAAAATAACCGGAGAAGCGAGAAAAGCGCTACTTATGAGGCATGCAAAAAAAAACTGGTCACAGTTTTGCTTACGGGTGAAGCAATGAATGCTCTAGCAACGAATTGTAATATTATGCGAAATAAGGCTACCAGTTTATCTGTTCTGGTCCGATCTCGCGTAACTCAAAGAAGCGCTGGTTTAAAAGAATACAGCTTCTCCAGAGACTGAAGGCCTTCAGTCTCTAGATCAGTTTTATTCCGGGTTTTCGCGTGGCACACATATAAGTTCTCTCAACGCGAAAGAAGCGTTCGTTAAGTAAATAGCAAGTTTTTTAGCCATCTCCTGATGCTTGTCAGGAAAGCGCCCGTGCCAGTTACCACGCCCATCGAGTGACGCAGCCCCTTCTCCCCTGCACTGGCGTCCTTCCACGCTATTTACCTGGGGCGGATGAAGCATTTCCGCTCTCCTTGGTGAGCGATGGATGGCAGACTTCGCACGCGGGGTGATGCAGCATGCGTTCTCGTGTGACGAATATGACCGGTTCGTTTCATGTGCGCTTCAGCCGCGTGCATCACCAGTGCGGGCGAACTTTTACTCGCGGGTAAAATCTAAGATGCGTGGAATGATATCACTTGGAACTTCTTACAGGAATTAATGGAGATGTTAATGGTGGCGACAATGAGCCGTCGGAAGTGTTCATACGGGTATAATTCCTCTCGCAATATATACATGCAACCATGCGTTAAAAAGCCTTGCTAAATTGCTCATTCTATGATAATCAGCAAGAACTAACGAATGCAACAGTTGCACGCACGCACGTTTTAATCGAAGATCTGGAACAATATCTTGATGTCTTGGTCTATAGAGACACAGATGAATATTTGGTGAGATTGGCTATACTCAGTGAGACTATGAATAAATCTTGTTTTCCTCGTCTGATGTATCAGTGAATAGTGCAATAAACGTGCACTTGACAGTTGAAGTTTATTTAATCATTCCTGGAGTACGCTGGATTGAATATATCGAATATACAGACGAGAAACACATAACTAAAGGCTGTATCGGAACACTTGGTTAATAGTAGTATGAGGAGCATGAAAAAATAGAGGTAACCAGTTAAAACACAGATCAACAAACAAAATCGTTTAAAGTACAATGAGAAAGAAAAATAAACGTTTATTTTGATACAGTATTCCAATTGATGCCTGGTATCACCCAAGGTTGGAGGGTTCCCCAGTCCAGGAACCCTCTGGCTTCAACTGCCCTCTTGGCCCTGGCGACGACTTGTCGTGGTCTTCCAGGTCCTCGAGAACAAGCTTTGCCTCCCACGTTTCAATGAGGTGGTCGTCGTTCGTTCTTGGCGCTTGGCCCCATTCCGGTTACATGTCGTGGTTTGCATGAAACTGGAATTCTAGGAGAAAGTGTTCCAGGGTGTCCAGTACGCTGCAGAGTGGGCACATGTAGCATAGCCATGTAGTTATGTTTGGGGCAAGTGAAGGATGGCCAGTTGGTAAACGGCAACTGACGGAAAGGGAAGATAATGAAAAGTGGCTCCACAGACGAGCTACTAAGCCGTTCGCCTCTGCCCACACCTTTTTTGCCAAACCCCGTGAGCTTTTGTTCACCGCATCTGGTGCTGGTGAGTCACCCGCATGACGGAAGTGTTCTCACAATGAGCCAGTGAGCCGGAGAGCCAGCAGTGGGCCAGAAACAAGTGGTCCGGGTTGAGACACCACGCCCGACATGATAATGTGGCGGCGTTCTGTCACAGTAAGCGTGGGCAGACGGCAGCATCGTGTGTACTAACTCCAGACAGCCGATCGGCTTTCTAGCCAGGCCTGTTGTTTCACGAAAGTACTTTAAGCTGTACGTTGACGAAATGATGGAGTTCTTCTTTAGCCAATTTTTTGGAGGATGAGGATAGCTAAATGGGGGAATGCAGAAAGGGAGACACGTCTCTGAGGAAAGGAGAATTGTTTGCTGCATAGGTGAAGCATCAAGAAGGAGTTCGTTGCACGAGGTGGTATTTCCGTGGTTTTCAAACTGAGGTATGGCGTGCCTTACGTGATGCGGCTGGTGAGCGTAGCTTGAATTATTCGTAGGGTGCCATATTGTTTAAGCCCATTGCGCTAGTTTGTGACCCTCTTGAACAGGTGTGTGAGCAGCGAGAGAGTTCTTTGGAGTGTCGGTATGGTGGCCGCTTCCCATCCATTCTTGTGTATGTGAAGTCTGAACACCCGTAGCGTATCAACTTTTGGAATAATTGTCCAGTTGAGGGTGACGCAAGGGTCAGGCTCTCCGTATATCGGAGGTATGCCTCTCGTCATTGCTTTAAGAAGTGGCCAGTTTTCTCGAGGGGACAGCTGAGGCAGTGTCGTAGATACCTTTTTGTGGTGTTTCCGGCACCTTGAAAGCAGCTCTTTTGTCTCGCGATGCTCGAAGCCTTGGTGCAGAGTGTGATGTCATCAGCGTGCATCGTGTGCCGCACATCTGGTAATTTATCCAGAACTTTAGGCAGATTTATCATGGTCACGTTGAACAATAGCGGTGAGATTGCCGAACCCTGCGGCACGCTTCTTTTAGGTAGTTGGAAGATTTTGCTGCAGATGTTATAGATGCTCATAGTTGATTTACACTCCCTCAGAACGTTTCTGACATACGTGTAGGTCCTAATACCATAGCTGGTGTCTTCGAGGTTGGTGAGGAACGCCTCATGGGTTACGTTATCAATGACCCCCTTTACTAGCACTCCGAGTATTGAGTACTTTCTTCAATGACTGAGGTAATTGAAAAGGTCTTCATTGAGTAGTAGGAGCACGTCATGCGTCTAGAGGAGCTGTCTGAAGCCGAACATCGTATCCAGTAGGTGCCCGCTATCTTCTACACTCTAAGGCAAAATCACCCGAAAAAGGAGTAACGGAGCCCAATAAGCGTGCGCGATGAACGGATAGACCGTTGAGGAGCAACCACAGAGGGAAGCGTGCAGCGCGAAACCACTTAGTCTCCAAAGGGATGAACCGCCCGGGAATTGCAGGCAGCGCGAAAAGCGTTGCCAAACTGACTCGCCCTTCTTCTCCACAGAACTCATGTCCTTCTCCTCCTCTGCTGGCTCAGTCTTTCCCCGTATTTTGCCGGCGACGGTTCGCGGTGCGTCACGCTCGGAGTGCTCGACCACGGCCACCTGGATTCGACGATCTAAGAATTACGATGTGGTGCTTGTGTGTACGCTTGGATGAGTGTGGGCTGCTGCTTTTGCGTTTCGCTGCACCCATGAAGTCTGGAGCAAGCCTCGACACGTCACCACGCCGCGCTGTATATCTGTGGCCTAATATATTACATACAGAAAAAGTAAACTTAGTTGCATAAGTAAAAACAAATAATATACAGGTTACAATGGACACTAAAGAGAAACAATCACAACTCTAGTGTCATACTGTCATAAGTTCATGACACGCCGAAACCTCCACGTGCGACGTCAATACTTTGAAAACGTAATTTTAGTATTTCCGTGACATTAGCACAATGAAGTTTTCTGAAACTTCGTATACGCTAGGTCTATGGCAACCACATATGACATTGTACTTTTATCGATTAGAAACTAATTAGGTCCCAGTAGACACCTTTCTATTCTACGACGTCATGGTGCAGAAATCTCAAGTTGGCATCACCACCCGTATTTTCATTTCACTCGTTTTTGCACTTACAATGGTGTTTTCAGATTATGAAATAGTAGTTATTCGCAACAAAAAAAAACTGTTTTGTTCTTTATATGTTTCTTTACTTGCATAAAATGGTGAGAAAGATATGCTAGTATGGGGCTGTGGCACAACATGCATCTAATAATTAAAGAGTTTTGCAAATTATTTTGGTGCTCAATTCGTAAGATAAAACACAGAGAGTGCAATAATTTATATATATTTAGGGAAGTGTTGCAGGGGAGCTTAAAAAAGTGAAGCATTACCACAATTTTCAACAATTTTTGTGGATTGCCACATAACATTTCTTGCTTAAAACAATTATTGCAGGGCAGTGACTCGAGTACGTGTGCGATCAGCTGGTCCATATATTTGCTCGGTCTTCATCCGGACGTACAAAGGAAGGTTCAGGAAGAATTGGACACTGTTTTCGGAGACCGTGATGAAATAGACTGCACTCAAGAAGACCTCAAACGTTTGCAGTACATGGAGTGCTGCGTGAAGGTATTGATGCATTTTATGTACTACACTTTCACAGCTGTAGGACATAAGACGCATTAGTTGTAAAAGTGTTGCTTCCAGTTGCTTGTTAGTCGTAGTTCTAGGACGCTGGATCGACTGCCAACCATGGTGGCCACATTGTGGTGAGCACTAAATGAAAAAAAAAATGCCCCTGATTATTGATTTTAGTGCACCTTAACGAGCCGTAAGTGGTCAAATAGAGTGATTCTGAATTCCTAAACGGCGTTTGTCATTGTCATGTTCAGATTTTGGGGCATAAAGCCGCAGAATTTGTCTTCCGAGGGTACAAAGCAGAGTAAAAAAAGGTTTTTCGGGGCGAGGTGGTTTAATTCCATTGTGATAGCAGCGCTTGTTGTTCCACTTACATTCATAGGTTTATAGAATTTTCGACAGGGACGGAAAACTAAGCAAGGAGCGAAAATAGAATTATAGTGCACCACTAGCACCTTCGATCTATGGTACAACCTTATCCAGGCTGAGTCATGTTTCTAGAGTGTGTTCGACAGTATGGCTCTGAACACTGGGTCTGTCCACACGTGACATAACTCGCGATAGCTACAAGCTTCCGTTCATGCTTGACTTATAGAACAGGAATCCCACATGTGGCAAGACTATAATTGGTATCAATACGGTGTCGGTTTCTCCATATCTGTGCGAAAAACGGCGGTTGAAGTGACCCAGTGTTCACTCTTAGCAAGCGTGATTCATACCGTGTGCGTCCTGACCGAGATATCATTGCTTGAACATTTAAAGTTTTCACTAGTTTAGCTACCCGTCGTTCCTTGACTACCTTGCCAGTGGGCGAGGTAGAAAGCCAGTCTATCGACTAGCTAACCACATTCCTCGACTATCTTGCTGGTTCGCGAGGTAGCAACCCAGTATATTGACTAGCTATGGGGTAATATGAGCCAAAACCACCATATAATCATCAGGCAGGCCATATTGTGGGACTCCGGTTTATAATGTGGACAACATGAGAGTATTTAAAGTGTGCCTAGACACTAAGCTGTTACAGCGTTTCGCCCCCGTATAGTCACGACTACCATGGCCGAAAATTCAATCATGTCCTCTATTCAGCAAAGCAGCGCGATCACCTCTTCTGCTTGGCAAACATGACAAGTCGGAAATTAGAGTTCAATGGCACATGGGTGTAGGTCAAAATTGGGCGTGTCTGATGAGTCGTCGGGCGGAGCCGCCACTAGCCACCTGCTTCCGCCACGTAGCTTATTATTTCTGACTTCACGAAATGCCGCTAACGAGAGAGAAAATACAGATTGCGTCACTAGCTGATTGACCGCTGAGGCTATCGTGCAACGAACCAAAGCCCACTGCGTTGTAACTTTTATCTGGTCAGTTTCACCTCGCAAGCCACTCTTGAAGTGTTCGCGACTGACGTGTACACTGCATCTCCCACCATGTTCGGAGTGAGGGTATCAGCGCAGATACGGGTGAAGTTCAATGTGCTTCTCCTTTTGTAAGCTGCAGCCAAATGTCAGCTCCCGCGAAGAATGATATGGCAAGGACACATCAGGGCCGTATTATTAGTGAGAAAATTTTTTTTTCAATTGTAGTGCCTTTTCATGCGCCTCGCATTTGGCCATCGGTCCCTCTGCTTACGCTATCGACAAGATCAGACAGCCGTGAGTGGTGTATTTTAGGAATATAGCACATAACAGTGCCTAACGCATCACTACAAAATACTGACCCAGGCATGGGTAGCAGAAATGAAACTGTTGTCTAAGTGAATAAAGCTTTGTACAGCTATGAGTCGCGAATACCCCTCCTGTGGGAGTCGGTACTTTCTGTGGTTAAGTTCTTCCGCTGCGACACATGGCAATCCGGCACATGTAACTTTGCTTCTTAACTATAACAAAATCAGTCCCCTTGTTTGCATGACTAATTGAGGTGTGCGTAACTGAGATGCGTAGAATAATAAAATTGCTGAATTTTTACTTGCCGAAACCCCGATGCGATTATGAGGCATGCCTTAGTGGGTGGACACCGCACTGATTTAAACTCCCTGGTACTTCTTAAAGAGCACCTAAATCATGACATACAGGTGTTTTTTGCATTTAACCCACATTCAAATGCGGCAATCAGGAATCCTACCCCCAGAAAAGGGTGGCGAAGGGCAGCTTTCTCGCCGTGCACGTCGCTAACCGCTTGTCAGGCCTGAATTTTACATCATCATCTTGCTGAGGATGCCAACCTTATTACTAAAAAACGTTATGTGTGGCCTGCATCATGAACATCGTGGTTTTAGGTGTTTGAGTGGTATCGAACCGGCGCAATCTCGTACTCTGAACCCTTTGTGAGAGTCATAAAGCTTGCGTCATACTTTTTGCAGGAGAGCTTGCGACTGTGTCCTCCATTCCCCTGCATTGGAAAGATCCTTGACGAAGACTTGACCATAGGTAAGATATGTTTGGTTAGCGTCCGTGTTTTACGTTAAAGCGCATTTTTTCAACGCGTGTTTTTAGGTTTAGCATGTGAATGAGCCCGACTATATACTATTCAGCACCTAAGCAGTTCTAAATAAAGTCCATCACGGCTCCGCTTACGTATTTCTGTCACAGTTATGAAGTTGAGAAATATATGCTAGCAGAATGCAAAGAAAAAATCTGCCAAAATAAACTATACCACAAATCGTACGTTGGTTAGGATGTCAACGGTGAGCTATTGATACACACCATATACCGTTTGGAGGTCCTCATAGCTCTGAAACTTTAGCGCGTTTTCTTTATCAGTAGCGACAAGGCGCGATGGGCTGGCGTTGACCGCGCTCTAAATGTCGTCGCCTCCACGGAACGTGGTCTCTCCTGCGCGTGCACTTATCAGACTCGTGATTCAGGAGAGGATGGTGGTCACGTCACTCGCTGCCGCGGCCGCGTTTACTAAAGAAGCGTGCTGCTGGTACACCACGCGAGAAGAAATGTGACAGTTATTTGCGCTTGTCCTGTGTATTTTGCGCACTCTTTTGTTGTGTCTTTCTTCCTGTTTGAAGAGCACACTTTAAGTGTCGAGCTGCAACAGTTGTTAGTCTACGTTCGTCCTGTGTATGCTAATTCTGTGCATGCTTTCAGCTTGAGGTGTGCGTTGCAAGATTCGAATTACTTGCCACTCTTAACCCGACTTTGCAATTAGTTGCTGTCGTTGAAAGAATGCACAACAAACTCGGAACTACCTCTGTAAAGACACATTTCGCTTTCGTGTTAAGCCTATTCATAAATAGTGGAATCAGCCACGTTTTTTTTTATGTCTCTTCGTATTCAGGGTTCCCCAGCTATGTTAAACCAGGGTTTAAAAATACTCCGATGCGTGTAACACCGCGCGACCTGAGGCAGTTTTGTGATCATCTCGTGGAGTCAGTCAACCTAATTTTACGTTCCCCTTATTATTCATGATTAGTTAAGTAACTTACAAAGTAACAAAGGTAGACAAGCAATGACTATACAAAAAAAGTAGAATGGTTTGTCAAACCCCCAATTAAAAAGTTTCTGACTTTCTATCTATTCATAATTGATGTTTTTTAGATTACTGCATATACCCTCAAAATACAAAAAATACACGCGACACACACGCTTGCGTGCAGTGAATACAGTACTCTCAAACGTTCCGCGGACCAACTAACATCGCATTTAGCCGGGAGTAACAGCAAAATAACTGTGAAGCAGGGGCTGGCCCTGTGATCGATATCATCATTCGTTGTCTCTCGCGCCACAAAAAGCGTTTGACATGCGCGGCAGTTCTGCAGAGAAAGAGAGAAATAAATAAAAAGAAAGGACAGAGAGGTTAACCTTGAAAAACTGGTTTGCTACCCTGTACAGGGGTGGGGAATTAGGGGCCGGAAAGAGAATAGAAATAGGCATATATAAAATAAATCAGAAAAAAATTCACATGCACACACATGCAGGGCGTTCTGATCACAGTCGTTTGGACGCCCGACCTCCGGTGGAACACTCATATTCATAATGTATGCTCCAGGGCTACCAAGGCACTGTATAGCCTTAGACGTAACCTTTATACCGCCCCATCTGCTATAAAGTGTCTTGCTTACAAAACCCTTGTCAGACCTATTATCGAATATTCTAAAATTGTCTGGGACCCTTACACAAAGACAAACTGCAATAAAATAGCAAAAATACAGCGACTTGGTGCGAGATTTATTTTTAATAAATATCGCCGACATCATTCACCTACTGAACTTTGTAAAAAAGCTGGACTGGATAGTCCTGAACTTAGGACGAGGATTGAGCGTCTAAAATTCCTCTACCAGTTAATTCATAATCATTTTAAACTAAACTATTCAGATTACTTCCAGGTCAACACACAAGAACACTCCAGACATCGCCATAATATGTACATACCACCCCTAGCCCCACGTAACGATTGCTTTAAGTTTAGTTATTTTCCACGTGCTATTGAAGATTGGAATATGCTGCCAGAGTCTATAATTGGTTGTTCCTCGCTTACATCATTTGAACAGAATCTCAAACGTTTATTTCCTGAATAACAGTGATGTGCGTCTGTACTTTTTGTTGGTTGCATGAGACTGCAGTAGTTGTCTTTCAAATCTTTAGCGCGGTGCAAAAGTGCCGCCTCAAATGCGTCATGTTCTGTTCTGCGCGTATGTATTGCATTGCATGTGTGTTCCATTTTTTTGTTATGTATAACTTCGAGTTGCTGCTCACAATAATACCGAGAATTTATCTCGAGACCTGTACGGTACTTCTTTTTCGCGAATAATTGTTTGTACTTCCACCCTGTAACGGCCCACTTCTGGGCTAACAGTATAAATAAATGAAATGAAATGAAGGCCAGTTTAGCGCAAGAAGCGCAGGAGTGCCTTCACAACATTCTTTTGCGAAATAAAGTCCTGTAGGTAACAAGATTCTTTCTTACGAAAAAGTCTATTTGTCAATCTTGTCTATTTCAAGTGACAGAATCGTGTGTCGGCTGTTCAAGTGAAGTTATTTCGATTACGATGCTTTATTTGCACGAAAAAAAGGCAGATTTGGTTGATGCCCTAGGCGCTCCAGGACACCGGACGGCAGCTGCGAAATATTTTAGCATCCTGCAGTATGCAAAAAATATTTCGCAGCTGGCACCCTGGCAGAACACCCAACCGGATGACCTTAGTTAATAATTAAGAGTCATTGAAGCAAACGGCTAAGAGCTTCACCAGTAAGTGACCAGCTGTGCTCCAATGTGTTGGCGTATAAGGTGAAGACACATGTGCGAGGTTGTAAGGTGACGACACATGTGTGAGCGCGGTAACCGGAGAGTTCAAATCAACAGTATGAATGACTTTGCAAGCAGTTCGACTGTAGCCCTATGATCTGCACTTGCATCGATGCCTGGAGCCCAGGGATGTTCAAATCTAACTCGACTTCGCGAATTCAATTTTGATTCAAGTGGAACAGTATAGTTACTTTCTAGGCAAGGTAGTGTGGACAGTTGAAGCCACGTTTTATGGAAATTCTAAGATGAATATCCACAATGCGCACTACTTCATACTGGCTTGAAAAATGACGCCGCCAATATCAAAGCTCTATTAGTGCTTGGTGAGGTGTGCACGAAAGAGAAATCATTAACCCACTATTTTTCAACAACACACGGACAGCCGCAGATACGTAAGTGAGATTCCGAAAGGGCCCGTTGAAGACTTCCGCTGCAACATGTCGCTGGTTCGGCTTGGCAGATTGTGGTATCAGAATGACGGGGCGCCAGCCCACAGCTCTAGTGAAGCACGCGCATGCCTTGATCTGAACTTCCCAAGGCAGTGGACTGGGAAAACGGGCCCGTTCATTGGCCGGCAAGGTCGCCCGAACTTAGCCCTTTTTCAATTTTTTTGGGGGGGGGAGGGGGGGTGCTACAGTAAGGATCACGTATACAACACGGAAACGACGACTAGGAGAGAATAACTGAAGTATACCATGGCTTTTCACCGATCGTACTCAAGGCAGCGACCGCAATCTTGCTCAAAAGTTTTCAGTGTTGTATTGCAGCACAAAGTGACCTCTTCGGGTGCTTGTTGTGAAAGCACATGTCGCCAAATGAACATAACCTCAAATAAAGAAACAGTCTATGGCCATTGAGGTGTCCATTATTCCACCAATGTCAGCATTTTGACAGTTTTTTTCGACAAAATTTATTGTCCTTACAACTACCACGAAATTACGCAACTGTTCCTTACTGCAGCGCAAACGATATTCGGTGCGTTCGCAGGGCTTATTGCAATCATGCAACCACACGAGAGAAACGATGCTGCTTGCGTGAATTACAGAACCTACATCTTCGCCTTCGACCTGCTGCCTTTTAAGAGTCGGTACACTCGGTTAAATTTGATGCTAGTTCATACGCACGAAGTTTGAGAGCACTGCAATCACGGCGCACAAGCGCGTATGTCACACAGTTTTTTTTTATTTTGCGGGCATCTGCAGTAATCTAGAAAACACCAATTGTGGATGGAAATTTATTTGGGTGTTTGACAGACTAGTCTACTTATTTCATATAAAAAGTACTTGCCCATCTTTTTTTTTACTTTGCAAGTAAACTATTATTATTGACTAATTAACCAGTTAGGATGTACACTAAATAATTGTGTTACTCACTCTACGATGGAAACAAAAACGCATTTGGTCGCATCGTCTTATGGCGCATCGGAGTATTTTTAAACTCTGGATAAAGATAGCTGGGACATTCTGTATATTTTACAACGTCTTATTTGTGATTTAAATACGTCATCAGAGCCATGGTGAAGCCCGGAATAAAACACTTTTATGTAAATGGTCGTATACCAAGTACCTACCATGCGAAAGGAAAATTTTGTGCGCGCTTGCTAATTTAAATCACTGCTAGCTTGTGTGCCGTAAACCACGAGTGCTGCAGGGGTATGGGTCTTAAGCAGTTTTAAGCTACAACCTCGAGATTAGTGGCTCTTCACTCGGCTGTATATTTGCTTTTAATATTGACGTGCTAATATCCATTGACTTTCGTACAGCTGGATAGCTCTTACAGGTTTAGACACTGCGTGGCAGTCTTAGCATGATCAGATGTCCGCACCAAAAACGCAGCGGTTGAATTTGCAAAAATTTTCGGGCATAAGAGCTCAAGGGTACCGACCTGCTGCTTCATTCATTAACGGCATGCCCAACATCAGGATATGCTCTTGTTTTCTCTCACGAAAAAATAAAGCGTAAGAGGTTGGCAGTGAAAAGTATATTGTATCAATGTATTGGTGAATGGTATGTTTATAATAGTTTTTAATTGACTGACCCACCATGCACAAGCTTAGCGGGTGAGAGAATATAGAGGGTTCGTTTAGGCCAGTTTTACATGTCTTTAAGAAACTAGGGGACCCTAAAGATCGTCTTTAAGAGTTGAACGCGATAGTGCATATTCTGTTCCAAGTGCGTACTTCAAACACTTAAGTGCAGAAAACTTTTCCGAACTTGCTATGCACACACTACGTGACATTAAGGGAACAGACGCAGGAACGTGTGTGCCATTTATTGTGGGTTAGCGGCCTTAAACCACGAAGTCATTATGATAATCACATGTTCTCGTGTCCGATGGCAATGGACGCTTGTACGACGCATTATTATTGCAATATTTCCTCTTGTATTGTGAAGCATGTATACAGGACGCGTGTGTTTGTAAAGCATGTGTTATTTTCACTGTGTTCTCAAGCAGAGGAAATTCTTTACGAAATACGTGCACTCACAAACAAACGTGTGGCCGTGTGGTAAAACATTCGCTTACCACGCAGTGGCCCGTGTTCGATCCCTGCTCCTACCCCGGATGTTTTTAATATTTACTTTATTTGCATCGTTATCGATTTTTCGGTCACGCATAAAATGATGATTTTTTGCTCACAACCAACGATGCAGACGCCGGAATTTCTGCGAAACGACCTGCTTCGCGATATTACGTTAAAACAACATAAACCACGTGTCAACAGGACAGCGGCGGACTAAGCGCTATCCATCTCTGTCCTGTGGTTCTAGGTGTTTCTCGCATTTCGTGGATGCGGTCTTGTATTCCGGCCTTGGTGGCCGCGTTTCAAGGAGGCGTATTGCAATTGATTGATATGTGAGGTTTAACGTTAAAAAAAACACCATATGATTATGAGAGACGTCGTAGTGAAGGGCTCCGGAAATTTCGATTACCTGGGATTCTTTAACGTGCACCCAAATCTGAGCACATGGGCCTACAACATTTCCGCCTTCATGGGAAATGCAGCCGCCGCAGCCGGGCTTTGATACCGCGACCTACGGGTCAGGAGCCAAGTACCTTGGCCACTAGACCAACGCGGCGGGGTCGAGGCTTATTGCAAGGATACCCGTATATATATTGACATCAGTTCCTGCTTCAGAAGTCCGGACGGTCGAAATTAATCTGCAATTCCCCACTGCAGCATGTCTCATCACGTCGTTGTTTTGTCTCCTAAAACTTCAAAATTTGATCAAATCTATAATTTGCTTGAAACAATCACGCCTTCTCACAGAAGCTAGATAGCGTAATTTTCTGGAGCTGCGTTTCCTATTTTTTTGTTAGAATGTCTGTTAAAGCACGTTTGTGAAAAAAAAAACATTTATTGCCGATAAGTTTTATTATCACCTCGTGTGCCCACCTTTTAAGAGTAGGAAAGTATATTTGAAAGGATCGCTTTCTTTTTTATACGCAGTATTAATGAGAACTAACATGCAATAATGCCAGGGAAAGTATAGGGGGTGTTATTAGAAGTCACTGTAATGTAAAGGTGGAGGAGTAAAAGTGGACGAAAACATGACTTGCCACCGGCGGTATCCGAACTTTCGACCTTCTAACAACGCCTTTGATGCTCTACCACTAAGCTACAGTAGCAGCCATATCTGTGTCCCCTTTATAGGGTATACATTTATGTGAATATAAACGTGGTAGCTTCAGTCAGCGCCATTTGTTGCTATTTAGGCGAATGCAGAACACTCTTTTTGCCTGCTTTGGCGCAGCGCCTCCTCTATTTTATCAATACCAGCCAGACGCGCCCAATTGAGCTGTTCACCACCCTCTCCTCTAGCCCTTTCCTGCTCTCACCCATCACTCAGACTTCCAGACTTCGCCTGTGCTTTGGGGTCATGAAGAAGAGAGCGCTTCATGCAGTGCCTCACGACGAGAATAGTATAAAGTAATTTTTGTTCATTTTTGTACAAATCCGTGGCGCGGCGTCTTGCATTCGAGTTCATAATATTGGCGGTAACGCTGGCTTTGTAAGTGATATGCTGTTTTGAGATATCGTGTTGCCGTTTGCAGTGCTATACGCGTAACCAATGGGAACGCGTCACGATGACGCAGCTGCATAAGTAGCGCTGTGGGGTGGCGACTGCATCGCTTCCAGCCACAAAGAAAAAGCACGAAGGAACAAACCTGACGAACGTATGATATTGTAGAGGAACACGCGTCTATCTCGTTTCCGTGGGAAAGCGCTCGGAAGCACGTGCGATGCAAGCAGCCCCACCCCTCCTGTGGCGTCGTATCGCGACCACTCTTTGCACTGAGGCGCACCGACGGCTCCCGTTGAAGAGCGCATGTTTGCACTGGAATTGAATGAAATAAAGGGGGCGCTGTTTGGCGTCACGCAGTACGTGATCTTATTACTAGATGGCAGCTGACTAATAGTCCCTCGCATACAACCTCAAGGCATCAAGTTTGTCAGAACGAGACCCTCGCTATGAGTGAATAACTTATGCATTGGTATGAAAATTGCCGCACAGTAACTTCAAGCCCTCTTGATTCTTTTAAAATAAATCAGTCATATAGAACTTGAGTTAAAGATACGTGAGCAAAAAGGACGGCGTTACTTGGCTTTATTATTTGTTGACTTTAGGCTGTGCCTTACAAAAAAATGAGCCCCTCCAACCATTGTGCTTTGGGGTCATGTCATAGAATTTCGCTCAGTAAGTTGCATCCCTACGGTATAAACAGCGTTGCTCATAACCTCATGTCGTCTTATCTAAACCACCGAAAACAGTGTGTTTCCCTAGGTGACTTCCACTCTGAACTTAAGTGCATTAAGGCTGGAGTCCCCCAGGGAAGCATAATAGGGCCTCTAGCTGTGTTCTCCATATATGTGAATGACTTGCAGTACGCTGTCTCGCACCCCCGAATATCCCTTATTTGCTAATATGATGACACAACCATGTTAGTGACTAGTAAGAAAACCAAAGATATAAAAAAAACTTGCGCAGATGTTTTACCACTTCTACTTTCCTGGACTGAGAAAAATTCTCTGGTAATCAATACTCAAAAGACTAAAGCAGTACTGTTCCGACCGAAAAATACCACAGCTGTTTTGCCTCACGTCTGCCTTGGTCAATGCAAAATAGAAATAGTTAAATGTATGAAGGTGTTAGGGGTGTACTTTTCGAGTAATCTCACGTGGGATTACCATGTTAATGAAATACACAAAAAAACTTTGCAAAACAATTGGCCTCATCAATAGAAATAGATACCTACTGCCTGAGCGCATAGAGCTCTTGTTATACCATTCTTTAATCTCCCCTCAGCTTGGTTACGCGCACCTAATTCGGGGAACAACAACAAAAAAGAATATTAACAAGTTGTTACTTTTACAAAAAAGGGCAATGAGAGCGGTAGGAAATGCTTCTTTTTATTCTCACACCCAGGAATTGTTTGATCGGTACCAAGTAATGACCGTAAATCATCTTTACAACTACCGTTTGACGCTGTCTTACTGCGTGGCAAATAAGAAGAATAACTCATTTTATAATGACCTATCGATGCTACAAAAGAAATCTCACTGGCACGATATACGTTTCCCAGAAACGTAGTCTGTTCCAACGCCGCGGAATAACTATGCTTCTCAATCGATAACATATACACTCCCCATATATTGAATAAATATACAGATAACGCTATTGATATATATCGCCTGCCAAATAACCGTTTGCAAACCGTATTTTTGTCGCCTGACTGTGTTATTTCTGAAATTTGATATATGTCGCCCACCAAACAACTGTTCACTAAGCGTATTTTCTGGCGCCTGACTATGTTATTTCTAATTGTGTGCGATTCCGTATATTGTTAATATTTGTGTTGATGTACACTTTTGAAGTGAATTTGACCATGAACTGTCTTATCTGAGAGGACGTTTTGGTTGTAGGTATCAGTGTTTCTTGGTGGTGCTGATTTTTTGGTATTTTGTGGGTCATTCGCGATCATCTCTGCGTACAGTACTGCTATTTCTGTTTATTTTGTGTCATAGATGACTCTGTGATTCTTTGGTGTGTTTTCCAAAGTTGTCAATTCAGGGCGTCCGCCTCGTCAAGCTACTTCTCACAGTAGCTTCTTGCGGGCGCTCCATCCTTTTATGGAAAAGGAAAATAAAGATTTGATTTGATTTGATTTGATTGTCAAAGAAATACTGCCACATAAAAATGAAATATCGCGAACCTGTTTTAAGTATAATTTATTACAGCGGCAGAAGCATCAAGTTTTTATGATGAACGAGAGGCCCATTTCCTGCAATGTAAACCCTATAAACATTCTTCTGTGGAAATGATAATCACTTTGGTACAAAACTTTTTTGCATTAGCGTCTATCAAAAATAAATTCAAAGTGATGAACACTCCGCTAAGCACAATATGAACATTAGCGCCGTTAGTTCAGGTTATGGCATGTACAATTTTTAGGTGTTACTTGCGAACTTGTGGTGTACCTAATTAGTGACCACACTACAACTTTGTTTACTTCAGATGGGTGTACCTTGCCGAAAGGTGTCGCCTGCTTCGTTGTCATGTATAGCCTGCATCGAAATCCCAAGGAATTTGAGAGACCAGACGAGTACATACCGGAGAGGTTCATGTCGGAAGAGAACAGTCGCCGCCATCCCTTCAGCTACATTCCCTTCTCAGCGGGGCCGAAGAACTGCTTAGGTGAGTCATTATCCAGTAAATCACATGTTTATTTATTAGGGTAGCAGTCTTTCGGCTTACCTCTTTAATCACAGTAGTTATGTCAAACTTATAAAATCATGATAATCATAATAGTTATGCTAATTCACGGGAACCGCTGCATTAATGGTTTCGGTGCTCCACACATTGGTCGAATGAGTAGCGGTTGCGTGGACCGCCATTGTGCCGCAGTGATAACGGTTCTCGGCTGCTGACCCAAAGGACGCACGTTCTACATCAGCCACCGCAGTCGCATAATGACGTGGGCAAAATGTCACAGACCCGTGTACTGCGTGCTGTCAGAGCAGGTTAGCGAACCCCAGATGGTCCAAATTTTCGGAGCCTTGCACTACGGAGTTTCACATAAGCATATCGTGGTTTTAGGACGCAAAACCTCAATTGTTCTTAATAAAAGGCCCAGGTGCTCAAAATTAGCTAGAGCTTCTTTTTACTCGTTGAGTCTGGAGTGTCTCTGATTGACAAAATCCCAATGAATCAATCAATCAAAACAAAAGTAGGTGCAAAAATATTTGGACCATGAGCTCCTATCCAGCACGAGTTTTATATGTACATGTTAGAAGCGGAGGTGCCGTTTGAGATGTTGAAAAACAAAATCAAACTGGAAAAATTTTGTGGGACACTACATATATATATATATATATATATATATATATATATATATATATATATATATATATATATAATATATATACCTCAGTGTGCTCCACGTAAATTCAGCCAGAGTTTAAAAATACGCCGGAACACGTATTTACGACGTGACCAAATGCATGTTGCTCACCATTGCCTGGAGTTAGACTATTTTTGTGTCCTTAAATACGGTATATTAGACCTGTTTGATTAACTAACTTTTGAAAGAACAATAATGGCTAAAAAAAATTCAATCAGAAAGTTGTAGATTGGTTTGCGACACGTCAAAATAGATAGTTTTCAACTTTATATCTGTTAAGTATTAGTGTTTTTTTGCTAATTACAAATGCCCGCGAAATACAAAAAAGTACCACGTTACAAACCCGCTCGCGTGTCAGTGCGAACGATGATTCTAGTGCTCCCTAACGTTCCGCGTACGAACGACACCCTTCCCTTGCACCGGCTCATGACAACGATAAGCAGTCACAGCGGTTATTGTTTTTGTGGCCGATAGCAAACGTGTTCATTGTAAAGCCACCACCACCGTTGCGGCCCTGTCGAGACAGCAGAATGGGGCTAATGCTATGGTCACTCGTATGTGGAATGTTAGGGAGCTCCAGAATTATTGTGCGCACTGGTGCGCCAGTGGGTGCGTCACGTCTATTTTTTTTATTTTGCGGGCATTTGTAATTAGCAGAAAAACACTAATACCTAACAAATATAAAGGTCAGAGTTGTCTAATCGGACGTTTTGCAAACCTATCTACAACTTTCTCGTCAAAACTTTTTATCTATATTCGTTTCTTGAAAAGGTAAATTATTAAACATATCTAATTAAAGATTATTTGAGAAAAAAATAGTCTGACTAACTGCGGACAATGGTGAGCAACATGCATTTGGTTGCGTCCTAATTACGTGTTTCGGCATATTTTTAAACTCTGGCTAAAGTTATGTGGAACATCCTGTATATATATATATATATATATATATATATATATGTGTGTGTGTGTGTGTGTGTGTGTGTGTGTGTGTGTGTGTGTGTGTGTGTGTGTGTGTGTGTGTGTGTGTGTGTGTGTGTGTGTGTGTGTGTGTGTGTGTGTGTGTGTGGTGTGTGTGGTGTGTGTGTGTGTGTGTGTGTGTGTGTGTGTGTGTGTGTGTGTGTGTGTGTGTGTGTGTGTGTGTGTGTGTGTGTGTGTGTGTGTGTGTGTGTGTGTGTGTTGTGTGTGTGTGTGTGTGTGTGTGGTGTGTGTGTGTGTGTGTGTGTGTGTGTGTGTGTGTGTAAAAGAAGTGTCCTTGGATCCAGTGGAAAAATACCAAAAAGTGGAGGACGGGCAAAACGAAAACTTTATTTTTCCTACGTTTCAGCCGGGACCGGCCTTCATCAGGGAAAAAACGTGGTGAAGGCCGGTCCCCGGCTGAAACGTAGGAAAAATAAAAGTTTTTGTTTTGCCCGTCCTCCACTTTCCACTTTTTGGTATATATATATATATATATATATATATATATATATATATATATATATTATATATATATATAAATATCTAACAGACAATAATGCCAAGTAAAGAGGATAGTATATGGGAAGTTACTAGACCGAATTGTAAATGTGAAGAAAGAAAAGTGGGTGAAAAGATAACATGCCGTGGATAAGAACCGAACCTGCGATCTTCGAACAATTATTCGATGGTCGCAGGTTCGGTTCCTGCCCATGGCAAGTTATCTTTGCACCCACTTTTCCTTCTTCACATTACATTAGAATTTGGTCTAACAACTTCCTCTATACTTTACTTGGCGTTATTGTCTGTTAGATCTCAATAATAATGTGTCAAAACACGGAAAAAACGGGCCCTTATGTATACACTTCTTTCCCTCGAGGGTCTCGTACTAGCAGACTTGGTGCCTTAGGTTGTATACGAGGGACTATTGGTCAGCTGCCAGCTTGTAATAAGTTCACGTGCTACGTGACGTCTCACATTTTCCTAAATATTGTGCCAAACTCGCCGCCATGGTTACTGATGGCACTGACTGACACCCCCACGTTTTAATTCACATATATACCCAATAAAGTGTATGGGAAGATAGCCGCCGTGGTAGCTGAGTGGTAGAGCATTTAACACGTTATTCAAAGGTCGCAGGTTCGGTTCCTGCCCACGCAAGTTATCTTTTCACCCACTTTTCTTTCTTCTCATTTACATTACAATTCTCCATCCGAGGCTTCCAGGGCATTTGAATGGGCATCTTGCGCACCCTACGGAAGTCTTTTTTTCGCTTCCCTTTTGTGTCTTCCCAACCCCATTCGTCGACGCCATGTATTATAACGGGGGCTGCGCCGCGCCGCTGGAGAGGGATAATGGCAGAGCAGGCAGCACGGCTGAAAATGAGGTGCAGGTGTGCAGGTCTAGTCGGCGTCTGCCTGTGTGCCTCCAGTGTTACTAGAAAATTGGCCGGCGAAAGGCTGTGAGCACGACACGGCGTAGACGGAGTCTTCCAGAGTCCATCGGTGGACTGTTTGGTCGTTTCAGAGTAAATAGGACTACGACAATACAAAATACACTCCCAAAGACAGTCGGCAGAACAAAATTGGTGTCGTGTCTCTTTTGTGTAAACGTGTCTTGAGCAGAACAATCGTGCAAGCAGCGGAACGTAGAACGAATCTCTCGCTGCGCTTGCGAAGTCTGTTTAGCGAGAAGTGAAGGTGCATTTACATGATATCGCCATAGTTTGGCAGCAAAGTTGACTGCGTCAGGGCAAAACGAACTCGCCAAAAACGCGAAATCTTCACTTCCCTGCATATGTCTCAGGACGCTACGTTTGCGCGTGATTGAGCGCAAGTGATGGCCAGCTAAAAGTGCCTATAGAAGAACAGAGTGTTGGGCGAATTGGTATTCCACCGTGAATGGCATTTTCGCAAACTGCTTGTTGTATATGCGTGCCACCAACATATTCACTGGCTAAACCTACAGAGTGAAGCGTCCACAATTCCTGCTTGATCTTGGGGACGATGTGTTTCGCGCCTGTTATCATTGTGCTGATTTTTTCACAGCTTACCAATCGCCCCGCCACGGTGGTCTAGTGGCAAAGGTACTTGGCTGCTGACCCGCAGGTCGCGGGATCAAATCCCGGCTCTGGCGGCTCCATTTCCGATGGAGGCGGAAATATTGTAGGCCCGTGCACTCAGATTTGGCTGCACGTTAAAGAACGCCAGGTGGTCGAAATTTCCGGAGCCCTCCACTACGGCGTCTCTCATAATCATATGGTGGTTTTGGGAGGTTAAACCCCACTAATCAATAAATAAAAATCATCACAGCTTACCAATCGGCGCAAAGTAGCCCCTCTCATCTTATTGTGTTAAGTTTAGTATGGGCAATCATGTTCGTAAAGAGTTTAATACCGGCTTTTCATATGACCTCCTTTCGATAACTTGTAAAAAGCTCTTCCCCGCCGCCTGTTTACGTCTTCTAGTTCTTCGTGACTACTTACGTGAACATTTACTTCCAACCGCCGCCGCATAGCATCTGCTACTACATATTGTCACTGTTAAAGATAAGTCGTGCTTTGTGAGTCTTTTTGAATACAATGCTTAGAATCATTATTTGGGCTGTATGAATGGCATTTTCATTAGTTTTCTTTTGCCTTTTGTTGTGTTCACTTTTATATCTTTGACTTGTGCTTCTGAATTTGCAGTTGATATCATTACTTATATAACATGCTTATGCTTTCCTTTTACTGATGCAGAAAAGAGCAAAATAATAAGAGTACAGTACTGACAGACCCGAATGTGACCTTTTTTTTTTAGTATTCGCCATTGCTTGAAATAAACAAGTCACGTTGCGACGAAGCTGGTCTCGAGAGATAATGTTGCCTTTACATTTCACGTTCGAGTCAAGAATATTTCGATGGTCCCGAACTGAGTACACCGTAAAAATAAACGTATGCACGTTACTTAGCCCCAATTTCTCCCGTACAAATGCGTGAGTACAGTACACGTAAAGATAATAACTCACCAAGTAAGGCTGAAAGTTGTAAGCATGAGTAAGTTCACTTTATCTATAAATTATAGCTTTTAAGTTGGTTTCTCGCTTGCTGAATTTGCGACAATAAAGCAAGCGGGAAAATTTTAGCCGAGAAATTGACATTCGGCATTGTTAATCAGGCAAGTTATAAGTGATAAAGTATTGTATGGCGAAGTTAGCTAGACTTATCCCCATAAGTAAACATGTTTTAAACGTAAAAATATTGAAGTTTTAATTCCATATACAATAATTTGTCTTAATAACAACCGATATGGCATCTCTATATATAAAAGAAATATAAGAGTAACAGATGTTTACCACTAGATTTGTGATGTCGATCAGCGTCGGCATTGTTTAGCCTTAATAATAGTACTATTTATGAAAAAGAATATTAATAAATTATAATATAATAATATTATCCGGGGTTTTACGTCCTAAAACAGCTACATGAGTATGAGAGACGCCGTAGTAGAGGACTCCGGAAATTTCGATCACCTGGTGTTCTTCCACATGCACTGACATCGCATAGTACACTGGCCTTTCCCGTATCGCCTCCATCGAAATGTGACCCCCGTGGCCGGGATCGAGCCTGCTACCTTTGGGTCGGCAGCCGGGCACCACAGCCACTGTTCCACCTAGGTGGAAATTGATTTTCGAGAAACATAAACTGTATGCAATACTGTGTCGAGTATCTGGGCTCGCTGTGTGGGTTTATTGACAAGTCAATGCTAAACCAACGCTGAAGAGGATGAAAGCACAGATTTTGTGTTTGAGCCTATTTAGAAAGTTTCTGCTTCTTTATCGAGACATAATTGGATGTATTTATCTGCGAGTGTCAGCGCCTACTCTGCATTTTTGCACAATACTTCTGTTTGCTTCCGTTTTAAACGAGAGACTGTATATCCTAACAATGTCAATTGACTGTTTGGTTTTTATAGTTTTATGTTGTTTAATAACATGAGCTTAACGTTCCTGCTTTTAGCGCAGCCTTGCTTGATATTCTTCAACAGGCCTCTTTGAGGGTTAAATATATGACATGAGTAATGAGGATGATGTTGGACCAAATTTAATGTACAGAGAGTCTTTTTTATTTCACGCCTGCTTATCGTCAACTGTCACAATGGCTCCTTTCATCTCTTTCAGGTCAGAAGTTCGTGATGATGGAAATCAAGATTGTACTGGCAAAGATCTTATCCAAGTTTACTGTAGAATCTACGTGCGCGATAGAAGACGTGCAGATGACTTTTGATATTGTTCTCAAAGCCAAAGGAGGATTGCCTGTGCGGTTCCGCAGGCGCAAGTAATCGTAAATAAAACCGTTTGATCGTTTTACGAGAATCAAGATATGTCAAATCATCAAAACAATGAACACGCCAAATTATTTTTCAAAGTTCAAACGGTGCATGCTTATCGGTTTGGCATGGCTGATGAAGATTGTAACAATTTTATTAAACCATTGTAAACGTTTGTATTCTGAATCTTTACTATTTTTACTTAGCACTGAAAGCCGGATAATTTTTATGAACCTACAGTAGTTCATACCAGAAAAAAAGAGGATCCTACTTGCATGAAGTTTTTTTACGAGTAACATTAGTTCCTGTAATGTTTGCGGGAAGATAAAGTTATTTTCTCTTTCGCAAGGTGAATCTTCCCGGAAATATATACGAAGAAACGCTACCTGGAAAAAAGTGGTAAGTAGGTAATGCCTCAAGAATTCATGAGACTGTATTGTGGTAGCTGTATTTGAAAGTGCACGTTGTCGAAAGCGAGATATGAGTGTGACAGAAAGCGTCGCAATTTTATTTTTAAAAGAAGAATTCAACCTTATTCTATATGTGCAACCTACCACACTGATCGTAAATGTGAGAATAATATTTGATCCTAGCAACAAATGGTGGAACCGGTGGAAGGCAGCCTCAGCGTTGCCGTTGAGCCGCCACTTGCACCCTCAAGTCTCAAGTCCGTTTGGCGTCTTTGACACTTTGCTGTTTGCCGCACCTCACGTTTGTTTCCATCCATGGCAGAATGTTACGAAGTCGTCATCGTCAACGGTTACTTTGCATGTGCTAACTATTATTCATCTTCATCAACGTGATTTTCATAGTGAGTGTAATGGACAAAGCCCAATGGACAAGCCGAGCTTAAGGCACTCCGCCCTTTAAAAAAATGTTCAAAGTCTAAACTTCCTTACTGTCAATTGCCTAAGGGCGAAAGGTGCTATTTTTTCTTTTTTTTTCAAATCCCTCTGCGACTTCGAAGACGCAAGTATCCTCTGGACACCGGGGCACGAATCTTCAGCAGGGAAGCATACGGCGCATGCCGCAGCCCGAAGGCACTTACACCGGGCTTCTCCGCAGTAATACTCGGACTCCGAAAATGCAGAGGAGCCCATACCGAGAAAATATTCCGACATACTTGCGCAATACCAAAAGCAACGACGCCACTATCCACCTGCTAACAAAAGGTTCAGCAGAGAAGAAGAGGTGATTTGGAGAAGGCTACAGGCAGGCACCTATCCACATGATACACTATTTCACGCCGTGTATCCCGGCAACTACAGCAGGAACTGTCAATACTGTCTGGACCCTGCAAACAACCTGTACCACATGGTATGGGGCTGTCGAAACAACCCGATTGCCCCACCCATAAATGAACGCAGCGCACAAGAAAACACAAAAAACCAGTGGGAGGCGTTGCTGACGTTGGTCAAACCTGAAGACCAGCTCCGCCTAGTGGGAAGGGCTCGGGCGTCGGCGGCTAGCCATGGCTATCTGGATTGAGGAAGTCACCCACCTCTGGGCGAAGAGAACGCACGCCTGGTCGAAAATAAAGCTTACTTCTCTCTCTTTCGACATGCGACTCCAAGTTGTGCCAAAATTGTCAAGAGCACAGGGCCCTATACTTCCCACGTACTTTAATGCTCCTTTATAATTTATTCTGACGACAACCGCTACAGTAAAAGACCGTTAATTTGACTCTCCCGAAGTCAAAAAATAGGATTCTTCGGACGTGTCCCGACCAGCATATGCATTGTTTATATACATCAAACTCTCCCTAATTCAGTCATACCTGGGGGCAGCCAGGTTATATCGGATGATTTTCGGAGCGCGTCGAGCATGTGACGCAAAAGAGCGAGAAAGGCGTTCGCGGACAACTAGAAAGAAGCGCAGCTGTCCTCATCGCTATCTTCATATATTATTGAGCTTGGATTTGTTCAACGATGCAAGACCATGTTTCGTTCACATAAGAATGCGGCCCGCAGCCCTTTCATTTTGTCGTGATCCAATGCGCGCGAGCAATGTCACAGCAGTGAATCATGGTAGAAGCTGTTGAAGATGACATGATTTCAGCCGCTGTCCGCACGCGGGTGTAAAATTCGCTTGCTACATTGCGATGGACGAGCTATCAATTGCCCACTATTATACCCCTAAAAACTATTGCGACGTGCGCGGGGTTGGTATATAATGGTCCCGCCGTGTTGGTCTAGTGGCTAAGGTACTCGACTGCTGACCCACAGGTCGCGGGATCGAATGCCGGCTTCGTTGGCTGCATTTCCGATGGAGGCGGAAATGTTGTAGGCTCGTGTGCTCAGATTTGGGTTCACGTTAAAGAACCCCAGGTGGTCAGAATTTCCGGAGCCCTCCACTACGGCGTCTCTCATAATCATATGGTGGTTTTGGGACGTTAAACCTCGCATATCAAACGTGTCGGTAATGGTGGAGAGCATGTCTTGGGCTACTTAAACGAGAGGTCTTGTACAGTAGTTTGAATTAGAACGAAGACACCGGATGACAAAAAGTGTGACTTTTACATCGCTTTTATGCAAGGTAAGTAGATTATTTAAGTATTATTCTAGAAATTCAAGATATTTGAAATAGAAGACATTTCTTTTCGTTGCTTGATACATCTAGTAATTTGGCTTTGGTTAATTCGGACATTTCCTTCGGTTCCACAAAGTCTCAATAACTCTACTTATAATAAATTCGGGTTCGCTTCTTGTTGTTCGTCGGCATATCTTGCAATGAAGCAGGAATGACATTTTTATTCAAGGGCTGACATTTTGAAACTATTTTCAGCAAAGCAGTTATCATTTCGAAGTAAAATGCCAGACAATAAAAGTACGCGTACGTAGGCCATTATAACTCAGCAGCTTTGTACTGGCATTTAGTTTATGCATGGTGGTAAAGTAACAGCTTTATCTTTTCAAGGTGTCTTGATATTGGGGCAAATGTAATAAAAATCAATTTCAAGATATTGATAGTTAAAGAAAAATAACGAGTTTATTTCACCGAACAATAACTTAATAGCAACCAGTCGTATAGTCATACACGAATATGCCTTCCACGTTTTCTATTCTTCGTTCGCTGGCTTATTTTTGGCATTTTTAGGGACACAAGTACAGCGGGTCAATAGCACCAAACGAATAAGTGTTACCTTTTGATGATATGCCAAACTGCCTTTGAACGTTCAATTGGGCGATGCAGGCCTTTTTTTTTATGGTACAATGGTTTTGAAGGGGACTAGCTATGGCGATTTCTATTGCACATGTGTGTTATGATTGCTCCCCATTTCATACAAACACTTACTAGTGATCACCCTCTGTATAAACTGCACATCAATAAAAGGGCAGCCGTTGTTACTTCAGATAAACGCTTGTCTTTGTGGCGACACGGAATGGGGACAAGCCTTAGTTGCTTAAGTAATCGTATGTGCGCGCCCGGTCTTGTTTCTGTTAGTAGTCTAACTGCGTTGATACCTATACTGCACTTTCTAAACAGATTCTTTGATTTCTCAACGCGATAATATCGTTTAAATTTCAGCAAATACAACAAAGGTGCAAGCAAACTCAAAATAAATGCACAAACTGCGTCTCTCACACAAGACAAGTAGTCTATGTAAAGGTGCAATGTGTTGCACAATGTGCCTTTAGGTGGCCAGACTAATTTCAAAACCTTCTATGCTGAGAAAAAACAAATTTCTGATTTTACAAAATTCTCTCAAGGAATAAAGCTCGCGTTGTGCAGCCCGAGAAAACGGTGTGTGGCTACCCGTCAGTTAGTCTCAAAAACCATGTCCTTATGGCTCATTCAAAATTTGGGAAAGTCTGTGGTGCACAGGATCAAAGAAGGCCTTATACGGGGCCCCGTAAACTCGGCGCTAGTTCCGACTCCAGAGAAGACGCACGCTCGTAGAGGTGGCTGGGCATCCTATATCTGCTTGAATAAAATGAAGTTGATGTGGATGTTAGCATTTATTTTCTTTCAGCAGTTTTTTTAATAAGTACACCCAATATTTTTGCAAATTTATTATTTGTATATTTTGTTATTGTTTATTCTTTAACTAATATTAGGCCAAGCGTGGGAAGTACTTGAGTTGATCACTTGCATCCATTCCTTCTCGCCATTCACTCAGCGGTATTGAAAGTTGGGTCGCACTCAGTTATCTCGCTTGGTTGGCGTGCCAAGCATATATGGAAGCATACTTACGTAAAGAGTTTTATTGATTTATATGTGAGGTTTAACGTCCCAAAACCACTATACGATTATGAGAGACGCCATAGTGAAGAGCTCGGGAACTTTGGACCACCTGGGGTTCTTTAACTTGCACCCAAATCTGAGCACACGGGCCTACAACATTTCCGACTCCATCGGAAATGCAGCCAATGCCGCCGGCATTCGAGCCCGCGGCCTGCGGCTCAGTAGCCGAGTACATTAGCCACTAGACCACTGCGGCGGGGCTACTTGCGTAAAGAGCGGACAGTTGCGTGAGACCCTGCATGCGGCCGAGCTAATGCGCTGCTTTCAGCACCACGAGAGGCTGGTTAGACCGATAATGTATTCGGCATAAATGAAACGGGAAAAAATTTCGATGCTGAGACTTGAACCCATATCCTCATGGAATACATGTACATCTGAACAAATGGAATACATGTGCATCTGAACCACGTGAATGTGTACCGTTGATGCTAAACAAATGTAGAGAGACAACACTTTCAGTAACACGTTATCAATTTTTGTGGTAGCGTGTTAAACTTTCTCAGCTGGACACGATGCAGAGCCGACATAAAGAATTGCACAAGTCAATAAAAGATGTTTCTTGAAAAAACTGATGCGAAACATGAGTCTTCGTGGTCCTCCTGAGGCGGCTATTTCATGCATTGACTAAATAAAAGCAAGCATAGGCACGCTACCTAGCAGTTGTTTAGACCCTTCCTTGCTCGGCCGCAAAATGCTGGAGTAGCCACTCTTTACGAAAGTATACTCCTCTATATGCCAAGCACGAGACAGATAAGACAAAAAGTCGTGTCGTGCAGATAGCGAAAGCCACAGTGAGGTACGCCGAGCAAGACAATCATTCATTGAACGAAGATTAAATTCGGCAACACCTGTTTTCGCGACTCTGATGTGTGCTAACCCGAGGATCTCCAGTTCCATGAAGGTTTATCAGGTTTACAAGTGATAAAGGGTGAGCGCAAATATTCGGGCCTAATGTGGGGGCAGGTATTGCTTTTACACGAGTACATGAGTACGCCTGCATCTCTGCAAGCCTGGATGAAAAGACAAAAGTGCTATGTCGCTAGCCAAGCTGCTGTCGGCAAATGCGTTAATTAAATTTTTGCATTTGTGAGGCTCGAATACAAAGCTTTTGCTTCTCTCCCTTTTGGCTTGTACTACTTAGTGATGTGAAGCAATCATAGGTTCCTTCCCATCTCTGAAATTTGTGTAGCCGTGGTGAGGAACTTTGCGGGCCTTTACTCAAAGATTACTGACACACTATTACATGGGATGAACTCAATGCTTTGAGAAATTGTTACAGAAAATGTCGCTGGAGCCAAGGTTTCCACGAGTGAACTTTTATTAATCAAGGCCACGCTGTTGCCCTGACACTAACAAGCCAACTTGCCGAAACATTGTTTACAGCGACGTTCTCTCAAATTTCTGATCGCTTGAAGCCTCTTCGTTCTTCTAAACTTCAGTCTCCTTTGGTACTGATGTTCATTAAAATAACAATGTGCGTCGTCATAGCAAACGTGATTTAGTCGAATACGACATGTTCTGCTTGTTATTGTTGATAATTTTCCCACTAGTTCAGAATATGACAGTTTTATATTTGCTCATTCTGTTGATACGGCAGCTATAGAAGCTGCTGTATACACTACGTGTATTTTTCTAGAGAAAGTGTTCAATAACAAAGTCCTTTTTATGTGCGTCTATCGACTTCAGTGACTGATAAATTGGTCCTCTTAGCTTACACCACTTCAGAACACGCAAACAAAATTCAAAAATTGTCAAACTTTTCACAAAGAGCCGCATCACCAAAGCAGCCAGCGGACATGAACGAGAGTACGAATACATTCCCATCTCGCCACGGTAGTCTAGTGGCTAAGGCAATCGGCTGCTGGCCCGCAGGTCGCGGGATCAAATCCCGGCCGCCATGGCGCAGAATTTACGATGGAAGCGAAAAGGCTTGAGGTCTGTGTGCCTAAATTTGGGTGCACGTTAAAGAACCCCGCCTGGTCGAAATTTCCATAGGCCTTCACTCATAAATATACGGCGATTTCGTGGCGTAAAAACCCCGCTATTATTAATACATTCAGCTTCCAAGCGAAGTGGTAAAGGAGAGCTTTCACGGCAACCTTCCTCCCTGTTTTGAGTTATTTTCTCCTATTTGCTGACCTCACCAGTGGTTTCATAAGAGGAATGTTCTGTTCGTGATTTCCAGTTGGATTCTCGGCAACTGCCAGTGGTAAAAGCGGCGCTGCCGCTGTGTATCGGCATGTGGGAGTCTGTATTAAGGAATATGTAGGACGTTTCCGCCCCCGGCCTATATTTACAACCAAGCAAAGCCCAAATTTTTCCCTACATGGTTTCCTTAAAATAGCTAAAGATTATACCTAGAACAGTTCTAAAACCCGTGATCACCAAAGGTTCTTATTCGGCTCTCAGTATTAGAGTTAGGTCGCAATTACGTAAATACACGCAACACGGCTTTAATTTTGTGGCTACGGAGAAATCTTGTTGCGGAACACTTTATTCAGGTTTGTACCTTGCTGCACTCAGGAGCGCGAACATGACCGTCCGGAAATTATGAGCAGCGCATAGTAAATGTTCTCACGAGAAGCCAGAGAACCGCGAGTAAACCTGTGTTGAAAAAAAATAGACCACTTTGAGTTATATTTTTATTAGGTCAACTCATGCAAAAAAAACTGTTTAGACAGCTGTTAAAATTACAGCCCAAAAAGACCGTGAAGCGAACAAAGCACGAGTCCGGTTTGAAATAAGAAAAACTGTCACAATCTTGGTCGAATGAAAAGCAATTACTGCACGGCGTTAGAAAAGGCGATGCGCTCCATATTGTACAAGTGAACATATAAGACAACTGCACATATCGAGTTTGGTTGCTGCAGGAGTAAATTCGCTTTGGTGCCAAGTGAGCGGGGCTTTGATGCTAAGCATGCGATCATTAAGCACCCGGCACACAAACTTACTGGCTGATTTTCAGCATGAAGTGGAGTTTTAAGCACGTGAACTTGACCATCAAATTATTGATACAGCAACGCTGCTTCTAGTAGTTAAACCACATATGAGCGGTTGTTTTCGAAAATGAACTGCAGATACATTGCGTACGCAATCACTCACGCATTCCAGTGCTGGATTTTTACTTAACACCGACTTCTAAGCGCACTAATATTTATCGCCAAAAACTTGAGTAAACGAATAAAACTAAATAATATTCAAACTAAACCAAACTTCAAAGTAAGTTATAGATATGTCCACGCTAAATACAGATTCAAATGCTAAAACTATCTAAAATAGTACTAGAGAAATATAGCGTCTGCAGACGGGCAAGCATAGCTCCCGTTGAGATAATTTTCCTCGAAAATGCCCGTATCATCTAGCATAGCGTGATGCCCACCGTCACCAAGACTGCCACAGCACTGCTGACAGTGGCTCTCGCCAGGTGGCGTGGCTGGAGGATGGCGCTGGCGCAGGTGTAACTGGCGCAGGAGAGCCTCGCCATCCAGGTCTCGGAAGAAGTTTGTGCGACCTCTGTCCACAGTGACGTGGTGGTTGCTGGACGCAGCTTCAGACAAGAAGCTGGCCCTGACGAAGTTCTCGAAAAGTTCCGACTGCGATGCTTCGCGGGTACGGAACTGCGGGGTCGGTTCTTGCACAAAATCACGCGATGAATCCAGAACACGCGCGACTGGCATGCAGGCTTCTTCCGGCCACTGGTAGCGGTTGCGGGACTCCAACGACGAGAAGCTGGAACGAGAAAGCTATTGTTTTGATGTTGCTACTATTGGTATCGATCAGTAGTGTGCCAAGAAGCAATTCATAAGCGGCTATCCAGCCATCATTTCTGCAATGATAATACTTCGCGTTAAGTCAACTACTGCTTCGTTAGCTCATACGACGACATTTCATTTATGCACCAAACGAATTTGGCTACCCATATAAATTGTGTCATGTTTCACTCATTTTCATACAAGTCCTAATTTGGTTTACTTACTCCCCTATTCTGTTTTCCCTTTCTGCAATCTTCTTTTCACCTGTTTTCTCCTCCAGAAAGAGATGGAAGGTGTGTCCTAGGTAGAAGCTTCCAGAGCGCTTTCTACTCATTTCTTCTGTTATTGTGTACTTGTGAACGACATTGCATAGTGCGCGGGTTTTATAGTATTTTGACTTCACCATAATGCGACCGTCATGCGGAGATCAAACTCGCCTCTTCCAAGCCAGCAGCCGAGCGCGGTAAACACTTAGCACCACTGCGGCGGCTGCCCGAAAAGAACCAGAGAGGATGAATCGAAGGGGAACACAGCAGGTTCATAGTTTGACGATGTCTCGATACACGCAACGCACCCCTTATGACTTGTCACCCTCAGTTTTGCCCATTTTCACGTCAATTCACCACAGTGTTCACTTATGTGCACCGAATCTGTATATACACACATGCAGACCATGCACACCACTCCACGCCTCGCGGTAGGGACCCATGGCATTATTTTTTCGAGCGGATTTCATCAGAAACTATAGTGCACATAGGTTGACCATCTCTCTCGCGTGGTGGTGTACGAGAGGAGAGTGAAAGCGAGTGAATGTGTAGGGAGGGGCGAATTATTGAGCATAGAAATTATATATTCAAATTTCTGAAAGAAAATTCATGGAGGTATCACAGTAAAACAAGTATACAGAATGCGATAAACATGCAATATAAGTCTGTACTGTGCACAAGCAGACTGACAGATGCTGTAATAGATGAGTACACGCACTCAGACTGAAGAGAAATAGTGACGATAGCGTAGCTGTTTCTTCGCACGACGTAGAGGTACCTGCGTCAGATATTGCTCTTGATGTCCTCGCGTTATTTCTGTGTCACAAGGCATCACTCCTTCACGTTCACTGATCTTCTGACTTCAGCTTCGATAACTCTTGAAATGGCCGACTTCACTGAACATCTCCAAATGCGACTGTTGCACTCATATATACTGCCTGTTGTGACCGGGCTTTGGGGCCACTAGAGATCCGGGATGAAGATGAATGTCGAGGCAGGAGGAAGGTGAACTTATTATAAGGTTTATTTGTACATAGCGAGCTCTACTACATGGCAAGCTCCATTCGAATGAGCCCGGTGGCTCATTATAAGGGTTACATATTCCCCAGATCCCTATAGATCGGGAAATGGGTGCATATTGCACTGTCCAATCACGGGTCCCACACACCCTGCGAGGATCGCATCCTTACATGATCAAGTAAACGTCCTATATTTAGGCGTGGTTGCTGCACTGCACTGTGGCACCAACGTGGTTCTTCCTTGTGTGTGTGCCGCTGGGCAATTTGTCCCAAGCTTACGACAGCATACATAAAAAGGGCCGCCACAGTAGTTCAAGAGGGTCCACCCAACTGTTCGTTCATTTAGCGGGGTAACGTGCGGCTGCCGCCACTGTCTCTTCCAAGGGAGATGTTGCTACCGCGTAAACACCTGTCTCGTGAAACGGCAACTCGCGGCAGAGCGCATCGCTTCCCAGCTGGGAAGAACAATACATGGCGGACATCGGCCGCCAGCCGTTCGGCGACTTGTTTGGGGATCAAAAAAACGCCGCTTCTTCGTAAGCCTACGTGCCTGTCGCAACACGCCATTCAACCGCTGCTTCAACTTAAAAGGAATGGTCATTGACATAGAAAAAAATGAGCTGAAGAATCGTGACGTGCAAAGTATACAACTGTAATTTTACCAACCTGTATGGTATGAATGACATGTCTGAGACCACTGGGTGGTCACTCGGACATGTGACGTCCTGCATTCCAAATGGAAACACTTCTGGTCGCTTCGTTCTCTGCAAAACAAGTATAACGCGAACGTGGCGTTTCCATCTTGAATATTTTATTTTCGCCAAGAAGGTAAAAATAAAAAAAATCAGAGGCCAAATACACGAAAGATGAAACTGCCTGCTTGAATAATAAAGCAGGCTTTCGGTAGCTGGTGTGGTGACGATACAACTTAAATGCCCATCCCACTATAATGTTTTCTAAGCCAACTTGTAGATTACTCGCACCAATGAACATGTGTTGAACTGATACGTGGTTTTACCATCGATGAGTGTGTGCTGGCGTCTATACGACTGTCTAACTTAGGACACCATAAATCTCAAAGACTATCACAGCAATCAGCCTGAAAGACGAGTTCACGTCTATTTCCGAGGCTGGTGTAACAGAAACGTTAGATGGTGGTGCTTTATTCGGTGTTGCACGGTGAAACGTTTCTCACAAAAGAAAAAGTTAAGCAAAACGAGAAAAGCCACGAGAAAGGCAGCGTTGATTGATATGTGGGGTTTAACGTCCCAAAACCTCGATATGACTTAGAGGCGCCGTAGTGGAAGGCTCCGAAAATTTCGACCACCTGGGATTTTTTAACGTGCACCCAAATTTGAGCACATGGCCCTACAACATTTCCGCCTCCATCAGAAATTCAGCCGCCAAAGCGGGGATTCGATCCCGTGACCTGCGGGTCAGCAACCTTAGCCGAGTACCTTAGGTTTCAGTGCGACTGCAAGTACGTGCGCGCGGGCACGTCAGCATCGCGTGGTGTGGCCACGACGACAGCGCAGCATGCGATGCTTCAATCTGATAATAGCAGTGGGCTTGTGTATATGGCACAGTAATCTGCGTAATTGAACCATTTGCATAGAGAAGAAGCAGTGATTTCTCACCGACTTTGAGAAGTGAAAATTCTTGGCTACGAGCTGAGCTCCAATGTTAGTTTGGCTCACGTGTTCTCGGTAGCTGTGACTACCAATCGGCAGCGCTTTCTGACCATGCTGAAAAAGTATCCCAGGGTCCTTTCTAGACAGCGTATCCTGTGCATTCCCGCCAAAAGAATGTTGTATAGACTGCGCTTGAAACTTGACTCACTTGCTGTCTGGCCGACAGAATATCCACGAGGGGGCCTTCTTTCAGAGTAATCAGGACGGGCTTCACACCGGCTGGCCAGAAGTCGTCAGACAGTTGGAGAATGCGAACAGTAATCTTGTATCGGGCGTCGCCGCAATCTTCAGCATTCGTGCAGACCGGAACCTATGGCAACGGTGTCAGAGCGTAAACGTAACAAAATTGCAATTTTCACAGGAACTAAAGCTTGATACAGACGTTACATTGTTTCAGTGTGGAAACCTAGTCAGTTTTAAATTCATTTGGAAACAAACTCGACTCATTACGGACATCACATACGCCAGCCTTTGCATGTCACGATTGGGAGCATAGGCGGGCGCAGTGTTCCCTTTCAAAAAGGGGTGCAGCCTCCTCCCTCACCACACCGCCCCGTGGGCCCACCTGTGTCTGGGAATGGTATCCCCTAGTGCTGCTGCTTATTGAATGCTTTCTTCCAGTTCATGTTGCTGTGTGCATTCTTAGATGGCAACACCGGTGATACCATGACTACATGTTAGCTAGTGAGAGCCATTTCAAGCCTTTAATGTATTCCCTTGTGGGCTCCAGAATACAAATTAACCATGACTGTGTTTAGAAAAGCCTCGCATTGCCTTAAATCCCCTTTGGTTAGTAATACTATTCACTAGATTATATTGACAGCTTGCTTGGCATGACGAAAATAACCTTTTTTTTTAAGAAACAATGATTGGTGACCACTACTGAGAGGACTAGGTGGAAAGTGAACGCGGCGGATACGTGTTTGTTCTGCCCATATGAAAACTTTTGTACTCATCTATGTAGCACTGTATCTAAGTAATATGCTATTTTTTGTTTTTAATTCTGTATTTGTAACAATCAAGTGGAAGAGGGTAGTCGTCCCTAAGTAATGGTGTCAACTCCGTTTATTTTTCTATTTAAATAAAAAAGCCTTAATTTCATTACTTCTGCTTTGAAGCTTTTAGGACTGACTCATTATGGATAAGACATTTGTTGCTTTGACAAGCCATGAGACTCAAATAATTCTGCGCCAGCACCATTGCTGAAAAGAATCCAGCTTTGGTCTCTTTTTTATATTTCCGGAAAATACGCAGCTCACACCCATACAATACCATGAAAAAGAGACGTGAGAAAAAAGAGCCTTAGCGTGGTGAGTGTCGCTTTTGAGGCTGCTATTGTTGTCTCTGAGAAAAAGTTTTCTATGAGAATTTATTACTGCCTTTCTTCGTACTAATCTTCGGTGTATTTTATTTGCAAAGCAACCGAGTGCATCTATTCTGTATAAGAAAGAATACAAATAAGCGCAAACTTTTCACGGAGTAAATGTTGACGAGTGGGGCGAAGCATCTGTTCGTTGGTTCATCTGTTTCTCGAAACATCTTGAGTGATGCGAGCGCTATCTAGTGAACAGTTAGTGTAGTAGGGGTGACTACGACAGACAACTACGGAAGAGAAGTTTATACCACAAGGAGCTTTGCCTCTAAAATAGCGTAGGGTTCTACAGAACCTAGTGCATCGTCGTTTAACTTAATGCTCTGTTCTATGCCTGTCATAACGCGTAGCGCAGCACTCACCAACGGGTTCTTCTCGTAGAGTACAGTCAAGTCAAGGGACAGTGGGCTGTTTGTCCAACCCAAACCGTCGAGCAGGTTTGGCTGAGGTACAACATAACTCGCTGCGTCAAAAAAGAAGAGAAAGCCAGATTACTATATATATATATATATATATATATATATATATAATGCTAATAGTGAACTATAAAAAAAAAAGATTAAGACGCAAGTTGCAAGCCTAAAAAGCTGCGAACTTGGGAGAGCACGGTGGGATGAGAGAGCTGCAGGGACGTAAATTAAATCACTACCATTTCACTTTCATGTAAAATGTCATGCGTATATATGGCTTCTATTGCTTTTGGTACTTGCGAATAGGAAATTTCGGATATTTATTTAATATATTATCTACCAAAATGTATTGAACAGCTGCAACATCTAATTGTCATGTAGACTCATAAAAACCAGAAAACTCACGTGCAATAAAGAATACATTAACAAACCGCAGCACCCCAGAGCTCCTACAGAGAAATGTACAACAGGCTGATTTCACTTTCCTCTTAGCGTATTACCCTTGCAAGAGAACACTAAAAAAATGTGAGAGTGCCTATGAAAAGGTTGTCTGAAGGTATACTTCAAAAAGAACATTGAGATGTTATGATGGCGTAAGTTCTTAAAAAAAGCTTACTCACTGTGCACTCTCCGTAAACAAGGTAATTATGGCCAACAATAATACATATTTTCGTCCGCACTGCCATTCACGTTGCAAGAAAAAAAACTTGGACTACGCTTGATAATAAAGGGGGGTCTTACGTCCTAGATTGCATATGCTTGTGGGGGACGACGCCCTAGCGAAGGGCTCCAAAATATGGCCGGATGATGTCCTTTACCGTGCACCAACATCGCCTAGTACAGGTACGGGCTTCTATAGCATTGCGGCCACTGGATAGTCGGCCACTTTATGTGCAGGTGCTACCGCAGCAACGTCCACATCTCTCGACAGCCGACCTCGCAGTGAAATTCCTCGTGCGCATTTTGAAGACGATGTGTTTGTGCGAACGCCCCTGGCTCACAGTGTAGTTGTACAAGCTGCAGTGAATGTACTGCCTGTCTCTTCATTAACTTATTTTCCCTCTCTCCTCTCCCTCCTCTTTCTCATCTCTTGTCTCTTTCCCTAATCTGCAAGTGTAGAGTAGCCAACCTGAAGTTTTTCTGGTTAAGCTCCCTGCTGTTTGCTGCTCCTTCATCAATCAAAATGCAGTCCATTTAAAAAGAAACGCGTGGACTTGGAGTAAACGCTTACACAAAAATGCAAAAACAGCCTTGAACGTTTTTCTCCTCTTACCTAGCTCTTTCGCTGAGCACGCATGGATTATGGCTTCCTAGGCGCCACGTGCTATGGCAGTGAAGTAGAAGAGGAGGAAGTAGAAGATAAAGAGAGCGCGTGTCAGTACGTTATAGTTTTTTTAAACGACGACACGCGGCAAAGCATGACCTTAACAGCTCTGAGGTAGTAAGTGAAAACCATGACATGAATATGAAGGATGCCTTTGGGGGAGGACTAAGAATTTCGACCACCTTTGTTTCTTTTGCCTGAGCATAAAACTAAGTATGCCGGCCTCAAGCATTTCACCTCTACCCAAAATGCCGCCTCAGTGACTGGGATTCGATCCTGTGACCTTGGGGTTAGTGGCTAGTCAAGTACCACATAGCCACGAGACAACCATGAAGGGGGGGGGGAGCATGAATGCCTCTGAGCATGGATGCCCGAGAGAATTGCAGTGAGTGAGTAGGTGTAAGTGTGAGAGAACGCGAGCGAGAACCAATGATTGTGAGTAGGCGTGAATAGAAGGAGTTCTGACACATGGCGAGAGCGAGTGAATACGAGAAACAAGTGTTTGCGAACCTGTGTGTGAGCGCGAGTACCCATCGCTGAAAACGGTGACGCAATTGAGCGATAATAAAGTGCGCGAGAAAGAACGTGACCGAATGCCTGTAAGTATGAATAGCCGAAAGAATGAAAATGAGTGGTCAGCAAAGTGAGCGAGCGTGAGTCAGTGCCTTTGGGCGAAGGGAGACGTTAATATACGGACGAGAGTAGCTGTGTGAGCTGATGGTAATATGAGCGCGAGTGGGCATGTGTTAATCTGAGACTGATTACACGCGGGTGTGAACGTAAGTAGGTTTGACCGTAAGTACACCCGAGTATGAACGTGAGTGAGTACCTATGAGTGTGAGGCATAGGTCGGCAAAACCTGTGGAGCTCTCTCAGACTCATGAATACATTTGGTGCTTGGTACTCATTCGTACTCAAACTCGCCAAACTTTTTGTGAGCCAGGCTCCCTCGATCGGACTCACACTCGCGGATATTTTTCTCAACCGAACCCACTGGGACTCAATCTAACGAAAATATTTCTCACGCAGACTCACTCAGGCGGGCACAACTCAATCCGAGTCCCGAGTGAGTCGACTCATTACTCCATTAGCCTAGAACTAGCTTTGTCAAGAGAGCTGTCAATGCTCTTTATTACCAATATCTCACGCAATTGGTGCTCTTCTTGGCACCATTTATTATAGCACCTTCAAATACGAGTTACGCATGCTCCCAAACCAGCTAGGTAATTTTGCTTGAAAAAGATGACTACATCATCATAGTCATCATCATCAGCCTGACTACGTCCGCTGCAGAACAAAGGCCTGATTTATTGATTTGTGGGGTTTAACGTCCCAAAACCACCATATGATTATGAGAGACGCTGTAGTGGAGGGCTCCGGAAATTTCGACCACCTGGGGTTCTTTAACCTGCACCCAAATCTGAGCACACGGGCCTACAACATTTCCGCCTCCATTGGAAATGCAGCCGCCGCAGCCGGAATTCGAACCCGCGACCTGCGGGTCAGCAGCCGAGTACCTTAGCCACTAGACCACCGCGGCGGGGCGCAGGACAAAGGCCTCTCCCATGTTCTGCCAATTAACCCGGTCATGTGCTTGCCGTGGCCAATTTATACCCGCAAACTTCTTAATCTCATCTGCCCATCTAACCTTCTGTCTCCCCCTAAACCACTTGCCTTCTCTGGGAATTCAGTTAGTTACCCTTAATGACCAGCGGTTATCCTGTCTACGCGCTACATGCCCGGCCCATGTCCATTTCCTCTTCTCGATTTCTGCTATGATATCCTTAATCCCTGTTTGTTCCCTAATCCACTCTGCTCTCTTCTTGTCTCTTAAGGTTACACCTACTATTTTTCTTTCCATTGCTCGCTACGTCGTCCTCAATTTAAGCTGAACCCTCTTAGCAAGTCTCCAGGTTTCTGCTCCGTAGCTAAGTACCGGCAAGATACAACTGTTATATACCTTCTTCTTAAGGGATAGCGGCATTCTACCTGTCATAATTAGAGAGTGCTTGCTGAATGTGCTCCACCCCATTCTTATTCTTCTAGTTACTTCAATCTCGTGGTTCGGCTCTGCGGTTATTACCTGCCCTAAGTAGACAGTCTTTTACAAATAGAAGTGCACTGTTACCTATCTCAAGCGCTGCTTTCTTTCGAGATTGTTGTACATTACTTTAGTTTTCTACAAATTAATTTTAAGACCCACCTTTCTGCTCTACTTGTCCAACTCCGTAATCATGAGTTGCAATTCGTCACCTGAGTTACTCAGCAATGCATTGTCATCGGCGGAGCACAGGTTACTAAGGTACTATCCATTAACTCTTATCACTAACTGTTCCCATTCTAGGCTTCTGAAAACCTCCTGTAAGCACGCGGTAAATAGCATTGGGGAGATTGTGTCTCCCTGCCTTACGCCCTTCTTGATTGGTATTCTGTTGCTTTCTTTATGAAGCACTATGGTACCAGTTATTCCCCTGTAGATTTCTTCCAGGATGTTTATATATACTTCATCCACGCCCTGATTACGCAGTGTCTGCATGACGGCTGATATTTTTACTAAATCAAACGCCTTCTCGTAATCTATGAAGGCTATGTGTAGTGGTTGGTTATATTGCGAGTATTTCTGTATTACCTGATGGATAGTATGAATGTAGTAGATTAATGAGTAGCCTGTTCGAAATCCTGCTTGTTCTTTTGGTTGATTGAATTTTAATGTTTTCTTTACTCTGTTAGCAATTACCTTTGTAAATAGTTTGTATACTACAGAGAGCAAGCTGATCAGCCTGTAATTCTTCAAGTCCTTGTCATCTCCTTTCTTATGTATTAAGATGATGTTAGCACTCTTCCAAGACTCTGGTACTCTTCCCGTCAAGAGACACCTCGTGAACAGGGTGGCTAGTTTTTCTAACACAATCTGTCCTCCATCTTTCAGCAGATCTGATGTTACCCGATCCTCACCAGCAGCTTTGCGTCTTTGCAGGCTCTCCAAAACTTTTCTGACTTCTGTCATTACTGGTGGGGTGTCATCTGTGTTACTGCTAGTTCGTATAGTATTAACGTCGTGGTTTTCCCGGCTAGTGTACAGAGCTCTGTAAAACTCCTCCGCTAATTTAACTATCCTATTCATATTGGTAGTTATTTCGCCTTCTTTGTCCCTTATTGCATACATCCGATTTTCGCCTATCCCAAGTTTCCTCTTCAATGCTTTGACGCTTCCTCCGTTTTTCAGAGCGTGTTCCATTCTCTCCATGTTATACCTTCTTACATCGAATACCTTACGCCTATTAATCAACTTCGAAAGCTCTGCCAGTTCTATTTTGTCTGTTGTACTTGAGACCTTCATGATTTGACGCTTCCTAATGAGATTCTTCGTTTCCTGGGAAAGCTTGCCAGTGTCCTGTCTAACTAACCTGCCTCCAACTTCCACTGCACACTCTGTTATGATACTCATCAGATTATCATTCATTGTATCTACGCTAAGGTTGGTTTCCTCACTAAGAGCCGAATACCTGTTCTGAAGCGTGACGCTTCCTTTAATTTCCCTCTCAGTGCTAGCTCATTAATTTGCTTTTTGCGTGTCAGTTTCTTTCGTTCCTTCTTCAAGTGTAGGTGAATTCCCGACCGTACCATTCTATGGTCACTGCATCGTACCTTGTCAACCCTTCCATATCCATCCTGCACGATGCCTGGGTGTGCACTCATTATAAAGTCAATTTCGTTCCTATTTTTGCC